GATTTGGTAAAACAGGTTTCGCAGGTGTATAACTAAAGAAGCAAACAAAAAATCGATTTTTTGATCGAGTCTCATGAGAGCCTGTTCACGTATAATGGTTGAGGACATGAGGCGAGAGTGAGGGGAGAGCTTGGTGGGGCGAATACCGTTTTCTTTGGCGTATGTGTCGTTGCTTTTGTTCACATCAGTTTAGTTATTAGCGAACTCACAGCTAATTAGCAACTATTACCTCTGCTCAGGGTCGCCCTCGCAAGCTCTCGTCTTAGTCTCGGCTCACCGCTGTGGAGCCCAACTAGACGCAGACATATACTTATTTATATTAGTTTCAATAAAGTTCTGTTCATTGTTAAGAAAAAGAATCTAATCACGAGTACGAGATTTGATTTCACAACACCCAAGTCCGACTCGTCGAGTTACTTACAAACGAAAACAGAGCCTCCCCTTAAAGAAAATTAAAGAATTAAAAAGTAAAATAAAATTAATTAAAGAAAGTTAAAAAATTTAAAAGTAAAATAAAAAAACTAGAAAATCAAGAAAATATAAATTTAAATAAAAAACCACGAATCAAACGAGTAAAAGTCGACACAAAAAAAAGTAAAAGATTAAAAACAAATTAAAAATTGAAAAATCAAGAAAAAATAAATTTAAATTAAAAAATTCTAAAATCAAACAACGAAAAAGTAAGAAAACAAAAAAACAAAAAACATGAATAAAAATAACTAAAAAACCAAGAAAAAAAAAAGTCAGAAAATCCCAACACAAGCATCGATTTTTCACATCTGGTGCATAATCAATGCGTGCTTACTCTCAAAATCGTTCCCTCTCATATTGAGTTGAATAATCAGAGTAGTTGTTGTACACTGTGTTGTGGAGGGGACGAATTGGAGCGAGTCTGCGAGTTTTTGCAGTTTCGCCGACATCGTAAGCGTTCAGTTAGTCAGAGCGGAAACACGCTTGACCGTCACCAGACTGATGTATGACGAGTGACCCTGAGGAGGGTCGGTGTTATTTGTTGCCTCTTAGTTTACAAGTTTTGCAAACTCTACGTTTAGTCCTGAGAAGGACTAGTTTTGATGCAGGCTGTTAATTTGTGCAGAAGGACTGGCTGTGACCACCGGTGACCAGCTATGACCGATGTTGACCGTCTGTGACCGATGTTGACCGTCAGGGGGGGTGATGGTCGAATGGACGATGACGTCGTTGTCGCCTCGGGCTGCTTAGCTGTCACATGACTCGTGAGAGTGGAGTGACACAAATGTCGATTACTTTTCTGTCCAACTTGTAAAGTTGAACAGTCAAAAGCCAACAGACAAAAGTCCAATCGCTTTTCTATTCTCACTTGTATCAAGTCGAACAGTCAAAAGCTGATTGAATGGAGTCGAGAGGCACTTATACTAGTACTCTGAACTCGACCTTTTCTCTTTCAGGCACGACTTTTCAATGGCGACGCGCCACCAGGCGGCCGAGTCGGAAGTTTGAAAAGTCAAAAGGTGGGGAAAGGTGTTAAAATAATGAGGCGAGTATTTTGTAATTTAACCAATTTCACTATTGAGAAGTGGCCCTAGGTGAAAACTCTTGAGTGCTCGTCGACGCGAACGCGAAGACGATAGTCGATGTGCTCTGGCTGGCTGCCGAGAGACGACTTCCCTTTGCGTGGCCGGGCGCCTCGCTTATATATGAAGCGAGTGCGCGCTGATTGGCTGATGCCGCGAAGTGGGGACGAGTGCAGCAGTGCACGTCGTTTGAGTGGGGACGCTCACAGGGGTCTCGGCGTTAGTGGGGAATAACATAGTTTCTCGAGCATTAGCGCACCAGATGTGAAACATCGATGCTTGTGTTGGGATTTTCTGACTTTTCTTTTTCTTGATTTTCTAGTTTTTTTTATTCATGTTGTTTGTTTTTTTGTTTTCTTACTTTTTCTTCATTTGATTTTAGATTTTTTAAATTTAAATTTACTTTTTCTTGATTTCTCAATTTTTAATTTGTTTTTAAATTTTTACTTATATTTTTGTTTCGATTTTTACTCATTTGATTCGTGGTTTTTTATTTAAATTTATTTTTTCTTGATTTTCTAGTTTTTTTTATTTTACTTTTAAATTCTTTAATTTTCTTTAATTAATTTTCAGATTCTCACTTGAGATCTCGCGTGATTTCTAGTGTCAAAATCTCGATCACCTCCGTAACTGGCTCCAAATAAATTATCTTATTGTTCATTCTTACTATTAAATAATACGCATAATTACTGAGACAACCCTGACTCTATTTCAGCATTCACAAGATTGAACGGGCCACATCTTGCCCGGATATTCTGTCATTTTGTGACTTTAATATTAAATTGTAGAGTTGAATATAAGCTCATGCAGCATTGCTGTCAACAAAGAAATTACGTGAAATATTGTTTTATTACATATTCTGAATAGTTTTATAAGTGTAAATGCGTTTTTTAAACAGTTTTCGTACTTTTCAAGTGATGAGAACAGTTTTTAAGTGTATTAGTTGAATTGTTTTATGGCAGTTCCCACAAGACAATCGGAATCAAAAATTTGATTGCAAATTCGCTGACTGTACCCGCATTCTCCCGCACAGTCCGGTAAAAACATTTACGGTAGACTAAACATTTACATAAGCTTGCATGCATGCATTTGCGTGGCTGCTTTGAATGAACTTTTCTGAAAAACTGTACCTGCAGGAGTTTTCAATTTTTTACATATGTTTCAGTACTTACCGAACCGTATTTTCAATGCGCTTGCATAGGAAATTAAAGTACGGGACTTTGATTAATTATATCTCGTAAATGGTACTACTGAGGTTCCTGAAATTTCTTTTACCTATAAAAAGCAGTGTCTACATATTACGTGATATATGGTTGAAGTTTCAAGAAACTCTATCAATAGTCATTTTTTGAGGCAACTACCTTAAATTGATTCTAGCAGTGAATGGACATATAACTGTTTAGATGAATTCAGGCTGTTCAAAAGATTTGCTCGTAGAGAACGATATTGTATTAATATAGGTTATTGTCAAACTACCTCCCAGTGGGTACAACAACTATCCAAGAATCATTAGTCTACAAAGCTATAGACTAAATGAACTTACTTTTCTCTTCATAAATCATTTTGAGTCCATCTTTAACTTAATCATCTTTCTCAAACTACAAGAGTCAAATTAAACTGGACGCGCGCTCGACTTCACCACACATTCTAGTGCTTTAATGCCTGTACTCACAACTCACGTTTTTCTGTTTACATTCTTATATATTGACTGTTTTGTTATTGTTATACACTATAATTATTAGTGTATAACTTTTTTTCTTATTCTACAATATTACCTTGTGAGGGATTTTAGTTAGGTAGCGAAATAATAAATTATCAACAAAATCAATTAATAAAGAAATAGCTATAAACTGTATATTGTGTGACGATCGTGTTACGTCGTCACAGCTTTCTCGCCACCTCAGCCATACTATTGTGACATATACCATTTTACTGATGTTTTTCCACGCAGCAGTGGCAGCGAGACGCATGTGTGTGCGAGCGTGTGGGAATGGACATACTGCGGGTCGCGAAACGCATGATGCCATCGAATGTTTTGGAGCAAGGGTGACGAGTTGGTCACGTGATCGATTCGCTCCTGCGAGCCGCACTACTGTGAGCAGCGCAGCGAGATCGTTTTCGGACGCTAAGACGACCACATCGACGTGGTCCCGTAATCGCGAGAAGTCGCGTCGGGCGTAAGTTTTATCGTGCAGTACGTCGCGAGTGCGTATACCCTGATACACGACCCGGACTAGCGTGAACGAGTAGCGCCGAATGTCGCGGGTGCGTGCGGTACGTACGACTTGCACTCGCGTGTACGCCTTCGGACGGGTTTGATTGTCGGGACACGTGAAGCAGTGTCGCGTGCCGGATCTCCACGTGGTTCATTTGTACGCGACAAAAGATTGCCGTTCAATTTTGCGTATCGCGGGCGTGAGTGCAGTAGCACGAATAGGAGGAGGGGCCATCCTTGACCAAGGCGACAACAAGCGGCCAGCGGTGCTGCGTGCCTTGTTAATGACACAAGCAACAAATAAACCTAATTATTGTTCTTATTTAATCGTAATTTGCAAGACCTCTTATTATTTCGGCAAACCCTTCCCCGTTATTTCTTCCTAGGTTGGACCACGACGCCACCGCGGTCGGTGCGAATTGTCGCACCGAGTACTGAGCTAGCCGGCGACCAGCGCGAGGTCGCGCATCACCTAGGATTACCTACGAATAGGGAAGCGGTCACGGGACCCGTTACAATTGTATAATCCAAAATAAAGAATTGTACAAGATGTTCGGAGAGAAGAAAGAGGAAAATGAAAATTTTTCGAAAATCTGACTTCACTATCGAAAAGCTAAAGTAATTTTCCATCAAAATGATCAGTTGCTTTTTCTTCTAGGTGCATTTAGATGCTCATACAGCGAGTTAGAAATTTTGAGATTTGACGTGAAATGGCTTTCATTTATTGCAAAAATAACACCGAATTCTGAAAGAGCATACCCTAAAACCCCTGGATATGGATTTTCAAGAAAAGATTTTAACTTTATCTGTGATTTTTTTACAATAGAAAATTCATGAAAAAAATTTTGCATTTTTGCGGATTCATGGGTTAAGATGTCATCAGCTCTATTTTCAGTTGCTACTTTGGCAATGATAATGAAAAAACAAGATAAGGAAGGTATAATCGCGATTGTTTATATATGGGGTGAGTAATCATCCGGCAATCACAGATAAAAATATGGTCTCTCCATAGGCCTGTCCTGTGAGAAGTATCAATAGTGTTTAAAGAATTCAATATTAGAATTCGAAGGATACGCGTTCCACGGCCGCAATTCATTATCTGATTATTTGATCATTATCTCAAAGGTTGATTTATTAATTTATCATTAATTGTTGTCATACCGATAATAGTTGCAAAATAAAGCACTAATATGAAATGAGAAAAAAATTGGGAAAGACACTATTATGCTGAATTATCTATTGAGTAATTTATATATTACATTATTATTTATACATTTACAATAATTTAAAAAATTATTTACACCTTTGTTCGTAAAAATCGTGAATGAATTTGGATTGGTGAATAAAATTTTTTTCAACTGTAATACATACAATTTAGACAAATTTTAAATTCTGAGTGTGCGTCATTTTTTGACTTATCTCTTCTTCTTGCATAAGTTGGGTTCGAAATTGGTGAACCTGTTTCAGTGCTTCGTTCAACAGATCTCTTTGTTTTAACATCACTGCCTCCCACTTTTTTGCATAATCTGAAATGATAAATACATTTTTGCTATTATTTCAATTATCTGAAATGAAGATAAACTCAAATTAGTTAACTAAATCTTGATGAATGCATAATTCATGAAAATAGGAATTTTAAACTGCGTTTCATATTTTAGAAATCTCATCTAGAGTACTATGCACATTAAAATTTCAAGCTTTATGTAGTATGTGTATGGAATCTAAAATCTAGATCCTTATTGTCTGGCATTGATTTAAAACAGATATAATAGAAGCACAAATTTAGTCGAATTTATTCAAGAATGTTAACTATAATTGGATATTAACAAACAACACGTCTAACTGTGTTAAAAATTGTTTGTAGTACCCTACGAAATTTTTAATGATTTGCAAAGAATGCTTCTTCATTACTGCTAATAATATATATGCTAAATCATAGTTAGGGTAATATTTGAAAAATATAAACTTAAGTAAAGCGGGGGAATATGCCATAGCTAAGAGAAAAATTGGAATAAAAAAGTATAATGAATGTATGGAATTGAATCTTAAGCATTTAGGACTGTAATTAGTTTTAGTTTTAAAAATGGTTTTTATTTACAAAAGAAATTACATGTTACATATATTGTGCCAAAAAAGCGCATACAAAAATACACTTAGATAAAGTTATATGTACAGAATTAAACACAGTTGCTTCGCTGTACTAAAGTCACACTGGATAGGAGGCTGAAATATCTTCAGAGTATGATAACTTGATTTTTAGGTAGCCGATGCAGGAAAAATACCGCATGAGAAAAACTGCGGGGCTCGGATATCCAGAGGTAGAAAGTGGTTCACATTAAGCTTTGTTACTTGGACAAATAGCTAAAATTCTTTAGGAACTTTTTATCTCTGGGAGCCAAGCAAGTATCGTTATTGAGGACTGTAAAAACCACGTTTATGTATTATCGATAGTATAGCGAAGTGGCATCATCCCCGAGCTGGCGTTTTCCCCCACTTTACCTTGAATGGAAACCTAACCTAAATGTCTTCCATTTCTTTCATCTTTCGGAAAGTAAGAATTTTTGTTTTTCTTACTCGATAAAATAATTCGATCGAAAGTTATACTTTGATCTTCGAACCAACATGTTTCAATATTGGCCTATTCGAAGGAGACAAGCCAGATTATTTTTGGACTTTTACGCAGTTGTCACATTTTAAAGAGATTAAAAGGTCTTAAATAAATATTTTATTAAATAGGGTCAACCATTCAGCGAATGAATGGTTTCAAAAAATGCGACATAAATCACATTATAAAAACCACAACAATTTTTTTTATTTATGAGGCAGATGATTTTCAGATTTTAATGCTCTTATTTAACAAGTTTAAACATTAATTTAATAATAATTGTTAAAGTGCAATCCATTTGTTAAATAATGTTATTTTAAAGGGTATTTTACCAGTAAATGAATGGCCTGAACCAATGAATGAATGCGGCTGAACCAATAAATGAACATGTGATATTGTCAATTTTAAAATTGAATATTGTAACTCAATGAAATAACCGAGTCACATTGAAGAATTTATATTAAGTCGTTTACTTTGAGTAGTTTAACTCATTAATGATTGTAAAAATCTTCCAGGAGTAATCGATTTTTGACGATTAGACTCGATAAATCCATAACCTTTGCAACGAAGATATCTTAGGATGTCTATTCAATTACTGGGTAAAATATTGATTATGCCTATTTTACCCAGTGATTGAATGATTTTATGCCCTAGCGTTTAATATAAATAGATTTACTAATAAAAAATGGTTTTAATTTAAATCAAACTGTTGTTGTTAAAAGTGCTGTTCCCCGAGAAAATATGAATGGTTGTTACAAAAAGTATTATCACAATATTCATTATTTAATTAATTTAATGTTCTAGTCATTCATTTACTGGTGGTCGTTCATTCACTAGTCAGTTGACCCTAAAAACATCATTATTCAAATATTGATATTGTCAAATTTTTAGGGAAAAGTTACTTTCTAATTTAATAGCATCAAGTGCAACGATCATAATTTCGCGCCAGGCTCAATACGACGATGTTTGCACATGTGACGTGGGAAAAACAATCGTTCGTCCTCGTGTCACTTACAATGCGCAAACACGTGAGATTCTCCGCGCAGTCCCGGGCCGCCGATCCACCGGAACTCGAGAGTGTATACGACCAGCTCATAAGTATCCACGAATTGACTTGAGCTGGGGCGCGCTTAAATCTTGTAAAGAATCGTCTGACCCACGTGTGTCAGGTGGTGCAGCGCAAGGTCGGATCATTCGTGGTCAAAGATGTATTTACGCAGATATTTCTTTGTTCTCGCGGCGTGTGTTTTTGCTCGCAGAGTATCGCCCTCCCCACGTCATCCATATAAATAGGCGGAAAATTCATCCGATGTGTGTACGCGCTATTTCCTTACTTTATGTTGAAGGAACGAACGATGAAGGTTGGAGAAATTATTCTCTCAATTATTAAGAAAACATAGAACATGCTTTGCTAAATAAAAATTGAATTTATTAATCCTTAATAATTTCGTCTTTCGTCAAGTATTGAACAAACTAACAATTTTTTGTTTCAAACTACCTTCAGCCTACTGAAATGTTAATGATAGAAGAATTCAAAACCGTGGTAATAATTTTTTCAAAAGTTTAAATAGGGGCAAGTATGACAGTTTGGTCCTTTTGATTAAAGTCTAACTGTAAAATCTTTTTGTTTTTTAAATTGTTGAAAATCTTAATCTCAATCCAGCATTGATTAATTACTTAGCTATGATATTATTGAAATCAAACAAATTAAGACAAGTACTGTAATATTTCTATTTCTTAAACGATAATGACAATGCAAAGTTTGTGATAGAATAAATCAATAAAATAATTAATTAATATAATCATTAAAATTAATAGTCACAATTATTCATTCAATTTATAATTATTACATACAGTAATAAGTGAAATGATAATCCCATACGATCATTCAAAGTTAACAGTGGTATGTAAAAAACCTTACTCATGACTCTACTTGCCCGGCCGTCTCGATTAAATCCAATGCAAACATTTCAATTTCATGTACCGAAAGCAAACTTTATATTTTACATAAATTTTCCGAACAATTAATTAAATTTTCTTATTCAACGATGAATAATAACATAATCTTATATTTCAATTTCTTCTTTCCCATTAATGACATTAACTTCATATAAATTGATGGAAAAATGATTCTAAGAAAAAATTGGATATTAAAACGAAAAAAAATACAGGGTAATGACTTGAAATATTGTTGAAAATTGAGTACATTTTTTGCATGTTTTTTCAAACATGACAATTGCGAACGTCTTCAATTTTATCAAGACGGCCGGGCTAGTAGAGTCAAGAGTCAGGTTTTTTACATGCCACTGTTAACTTTGAATGATGGTATGATATCATCATTTCACTTATCACTGTATACAATTGTAAATTGGATGAATAATTGTTACTATGAATTTTAACAATTATATTAATTAATTATTTTATTGAATTATTTTATCACAAACTTTGCATTATCGTTATCGTTTAAGAAATAGAAATATTACAGTACTTGTCTTAATTTGTTTGGTTTCATTACTATCATAGCTAAGTAATTAATCAATGTCGGATTGAGATTAAGCGTTGCAATAGTTTGAAAAACAAAAAGATTTTACATTTAGACTCAAATCAAAAGGATCAGACAATGTAATTTTGTGAAGGAACGGGAAGCAGGGTACGTGAAAAATTGGCTTTGCCCATTACTCTTCTCTAGAATTTTTGCCGTCGAATCGTGGTATGAATTTAGACTCGGTTTTTAAGAATAACAATAAAAACACTTTAATAATTAAAACTTAAGTATATATACAAAAAATGTAATGCAATCTTAACTCGAAAGTCGATGCTATAGGATCGAGAATTTATCGCATGCTCTGAGCGAGTATACTTTTTTAACTGTCACTTGGCACGAGCCTAGATATGGCCAACGACACATAAGCGATCTTACCGCTGAGAGTGCGCGACTGACGAAGTTTTACAGTCAAATTGAAAACCGACATACACGAGCGAACAGACAATTATACTTGTCCCTATTTATTTAAACTTTTGAAAAAAGTATTACCACACTTTTGAATTATTCTATTGTAAACATTTGAGTAGGCGATTAGTTCGAAACAAAAAATTGTTAGTTTGTTCAATACTTGACGGAATTTATTCGATTTCAAAAATATCATTTTTTCAATTTTTTTCAGATTTTTTCTAAACTAATACAAAGTTTTAAAAATAGAAATGTAGCTTAAATTTACCTTCTTGATCATAATCAACTTCGTGAGTCATGCTAAATAAGCTGTGAGCTGCATTTAAAAATTTAGTTGAATCATCCATGACAAGTTTATGTGAGTCCAAAACCTCATCTTCCAATAATTGCAAAGCTGAGACGGCTTCATGAAATGTATATAAATCTTGAGATAATTCACCCTCCTATAATTCAAAAAAATATAATTAATACTCTTGAGCAAACATATATAAATGAATTAGAATTATTGACTCGATTTTAGGAGTTTTAAAAGTTATAGTAAATTCCAACGATTTTTTCGTATAATGGAATTAAATTATCCAGAAAATTTAAGATACTCTATATTTGTGTTATAAAAATTCGAAATTTCTGTCCATCATGACCAACTTTTTTGGAGATGAGGTAAGATTTACATTATTGCGAGGTCCGATGAACTTGAGAAAGATGAGACAATAAACACAAGAATAATGCTCTAGCGTTCGCTAGTCAATCGGTTTAGGCAATTAACAAGACATCACTTTTTGTGTGTTGTTCGACAAGAAATTTGTCGATCGTCCTTTCTTCGTCATTTCTTGTCGAATGACACTCAAAAAGTCATGTCTTGATAATTTCCTAAACCGATTGACTAGCGAACGCTAGAGCATTATTCTTGTATACTCAAAATACGGCAAATCGTGAATGCGATAAACAAATTTAACAAATAAACACACTAACCCCTTTCATTATCAATCTATAAGGTAATAAAGTGAACAAATTGGCCAATCTCTCGATTAAAAAAATTTATTTAACTGAAAATAATAGTTTTTTGGAAAGCAATTACAGTCTTGTACCTCCAACAGTTAAAAAAATGTTTTATTAACATAACAAAAATTATTGGCATTTTTTTTTCTGAAAAAATATTAAGTTTAGGAAAAGTTTAAAAATTTATCAAGGAACACGCCTGAAATTTTTCCTGAAAATTGAGAAATCGTCTCAGAAACTTCTAAAAAAATTCCGACATGTTTATTAAATAATTTGAAGATTTTTTCATTCCACAAGCTTTCTCTGTAAGCTATGAAAATTTTTTTTGAATATGTTTGAAGGAGTGGTTCAAAGCTTCCATAAAAATCCCCTGAGATACTTGAGTAGTCAAGATCACTCCTCAAACTACGGAACAAATCACTTCGAAATCCAGCAAAAAATTAAACCTTTTCGGCGTTAATAGGTTAAGGGGTAACACCACTCTAGGATTTTGGAAAATAGCTAAAATTTACGAATTTTTTGTGGGGGCTACGATAAATACTTTAATTTGAGACTTTGAGGACTAATAATACATACAATGAACTATAAGAAAAAAATTTTTTTATTAGTTTTAGGCCCAAAATGGCGAAGATATCACAATTCTACAAAATGGCATCTAGAAAAAAATTTCAAAAAAGGTCTTAAAGTTAAATGCTTTTTCTAGGATTTTAGCTCAAAAGTGAAAATTGTAAAAATTGCGTGTTTCTAAAAAAAAAGTTTCAAAAATTCGAGAAAATTCCCTCCGAATATTGTTTATAAAAATTAAAACAATTAACTTATCGAAAAAATCCTACGTACTTCCGTTAGTAATCTTATTTTAAAGCTTCAGTTCAAATTTCAACTCAATCGGTTCAATATTTTTCGAGATATCGTTTCGCCAGTGACGAAAAATGTTGTTTCGAGAAAAACGCGTTTAAAGTTTTTTTGATACGAAATTCATACAAAACCTATTATTACTACAAAACCTAGTATTAGTATTACCTTTAATCAGCCATCCCTGCACCATACAGTTGGCACTCTATAGCAACCTTTACAGGTTTTTTTATATATTAAAAGCCATTTTTCACTCGCACAATAATGTACTTACATGAAATTTTAGCAGCAGTGTTTGAATAGAAAAAGTACTAAATTTATTGAAATTCGCTGATTTTGCGAAAATATGTTCGTAAAGACCCTTCCACTCAAATTGAAAACTAAGCATCTTATAACATCGTCTACCCTATAAAACTAATTTGGCATCATTCTACACATCACAAGGGAGCTTTTTATGCAAAAAAAAATCGTTTTTTTGAAAATCCTAGAGTGGTGTTACCCCTTAAGTAAATTGTAAAGAACTTATTTTATGTTGTGTACTATTATTATTTTATTATTATTATAATATTTATTATTATTATTATATTATATTATTTTATGTTGTTTACTATTTGTTATTAGTTATTGATATATTTATAACTGACCACCTTTGTATATTGTCTGTACAAGTCAGCATATCAGTCCTAATGAGGCCGACGAAGTGATTTCGGTCAATCGTTGACTAGAGCATGGAAGTGTGTGTTTATCCACTTTCATGAACCGAACATTTTTAAATTAATTGAGATTAGCACCGTGTTTACAGCCCTTTTTTTAAAACATCATAAAAAAGTTATCACATCGAGGAGCGCGCTCGCGCTCGCTCTGGCAAGTATGGCAGAGAGAGCTGCGGCGTACACGCTCCTCATATACAGTGCACTGGCCTTTTTCGCTACCCGCGAAAACTCTTTTTCACTCTCATTTGAATTTGATAACAGGTATCTTAATTCTGTAAAGTGCTATGGAATCCTGGATAAAAATGCAATCCAACGATGTATATTACATACCGAAAAAAGTTTATTTTCAACGAAATACGAGCGATTGAAAGAAAAATCCACTTCGCAAAAAACGTTCTTACCAAAAAGTGGTCAGACCAAAATCAGTTTCAGACCATTTGCTGTGTTCAAGTCATACGCTCATACGTTGTTACGCCATCGATGTATATGATGTATGAATCGAGAACAATAATAATAATACATTTTCGTATTAGAATTGTATACATACACATCTATATCTTCAATATACATGACATGATGAGGTTTCTTTTCTCGTAGAGCATTATACGAAACCCCGGTAGCCCACTCGATGCTCTTGGTATGAATACCGACCCGGCGACGACTCTCTCCGAGGAAGTCGAGATATTATGGCTACATTGTTCCCCCGGGTGGCCTACTCGGAGCACCAGGTATAAATATCGACTCGGCGACGACTTTCCCCGAAGAAGACGAACTGCTTTCGCTATTTCGTCCACCCAGGTGGCCTACTGGATACGAAAATCGACCAACTGACGACTTTCTCCACGAAAGTTGAGATGTTATGGCTACATTATGCCCCAGATGACGTGCCCTATGCCCCAAGTGCGAATTCCAACCAACGACGACTCACTCCGAGGAAGTCAAAGATTTTAATATATATTTAAAAGTCATAAAAAAGATCTTCAAACCAGTAAAATCTTATTTTTTACCTTGACGTCAAGAAATTGTACTTTTTGTTGAAAAATTTAAACTATTCATGCTATTGGCTAAAATTTTACAAGCTATTATAAAAAAGTTAGTTGAAGTACATACTCAAATTTCATGATAATAGCTTGCAAACTCTGGTTTTTAGCTTTGAAACAGTCAAATCTCATTTATACCTTGTCGTCAAGAAAATGTACCTTTAGTTGAAAAATTTAAACTATTCATGCTATTGATCTAAAATTTCACAAGCTATCATAAAATAGTTAGTTTAAGTACATACTCAAATTTCATGATAATAGCTTGCAAATTCTGGTTTTCAACTTTAAAACAGAAAATTTATTTTTTCTTGTACGGTAAGAAATTGTACTTTTGGTTGAAAAATGAAAACTATTCATCGCATCGATCCAAATCCAATTTGATACTTTTCAAATTATCCAAATGCTCATTATTAAACTCAATCCACCATTGTTCAATTACGTGGCTATGATATGAATAAAATCGACTATATTCTGACAATTATTCGGCATAACTGAAATTTTTATTTTTCAAATACTATATCAAATTAAAAAGTTTACCACACAGTAATTTAAAATTGTGGTAATACTTTTTTCAAAAGATTAAATAGGTGCAAGTATGACAGTTTTATCCCAATTCAAATCTAAATCACAAATCTTTTATTTTTCTAATTTTGGAATAGTTGAATATCAATGTACTATTGACCAATTATTTAATGAGCTATGATAGTAATGGAATCAAACGTATTCTGACAACTATTCATACGCAAAATGAAATTTTCTTTATCAAACTTTAATTATACTAAAAGTCTGGAAAATAATTCAGTACGTGATTTTTAACACGTATTTTGAATCAAAAAACCTTAATTATGATTCTACTTGCCCGGCCGTCTCAATCAAAATCGATGCGAACCTTAACAACATAATCTAGAGAAATCTTTCCGTACTTCGAATATAGCTCAATTTTTTTTATAACAGATCCAAATTTTTCAGTCTTTTTTTCAATTATTTATGCTTATAACGTAATGTTTGAAGACGATTCATTTTTTTATGCAGTGTATTTATTACATTAATTACATCATGCACTAACTCTTTATCAATTTATAAACGCATGTCCTTCAATAAGCTTTTCTTATCAAAAGGAAAAAAATTCCACATGCTATCCAAAAATATTAAAATAATAGTATATTTTGTAACAAGTGCGCGAAGCAGTTGACTCATCCAGGAGTTGTTTTCACCCGAGCGTAGCGAGGGTGCAAAGACTCCTGGATGAGTCAACTTCCTCGCGGACTAGTTGCAAACGATATTTTTTAACTCTGCTTGCGAGAAACTAGGGTTTTCTGACGCTTTAAGGTTAGAAAACCCGTGTTTCGCGCACGCAGTGTTAAAATAGTTATTTATGCAATAGTAGGCAAAAAATACTTTCATTTAAATGAGGCGTTTTACCGCACACGCGTTTTCAAAATGAGGCATTTTACAGCACACAAGTGTCCAAAAACGCTTTTTGTGCACTAAAAAATGTGCGAAAAAAGACACTTTTCGTCATACTATTGCATAAAAATTTTTTTTAGATGTTAAATAATCATTTATAGCAAAAATAAATGATATAATTAAATGTTCAGTATGAATTGACAGTTTTTATTAAACTTACGACGAAGGCGAACGTCTTTATTTCAATTGAGACGGGAGGGCAAGTAGAATCATAATTAAGGTTTTTTTATACAAAATAAGTGTTAAAAATCACGTACTGAATTATTTTCCAGACTTTTAGTATAATTAAAGTTTGAAAAAGAAAATTTCATTTTGCGTATGAATAGTTGTCAGAATACGTTTGATTTCATTACTATCATAGCTCATTAAATAATTGTTCAATAGTACATTGATATTCAACTATTCCAAAATTAGAAAAATAAAAGATTTGTGAGTTAGATTTGAATTGGGATAAAACTGTCATACTTGCACTCATTGAATTTTTTGAAAAAAGTATTACCACAATTTTAAATTACTGTGTGGTAATTATATAATACAAAACCAAGATGTACTTATATGAGGCATTACTCGCCAAGTGTTCTAATGCTTCGCCGTGCGGCCCAATTAAGCGAAATTACTCAATTTCTAACTCACGTAAAAAGTATCGAAATTCATTTAGAAGAAAAAAGTTACCCTTCATTTTGAATGGGAAATAGGGTCAACTGACTAGTGAATGAACGACCACCAGTAAATGAATGCCTAGTGCATTAAATTAATTAAATAATGAATATTGTGATATTATTTTTTGTAACAACCATTCATTTTTTCTTGTGTAACAGCACTTTTAACAACAACAGTTTGATTTTAATTAAAACAATTTTTTTATTAGTAAATCTATTTATATTACACGCTAGTGCATAAAATCATTCAATCACTGGGTAAAATCTGAAAATCATCTACTTCACCAATATAAAAAATTATTGTAGTTTTTATAATGTGATTTATGTCGCATTTTTTGAAACCATTTATTGACTGGATAGTTGACCCTACCTCAGTTTTCTGATGGTGAGGTTTTCAAAAATTTTCCATTTTCCTCGGAAAACCGCTGAAAGAACCTTCAAAGTAGAACATCTCAAAAGTGTCATTTTAAAGACTTTTATAAATAGTCCCAATAGAAAGCTGAGGAAATTTTCTACCAATATGCAAATTTTCAGAGTGTGCAATTGGTTATGACTTATTGAAACACAGTGACGAACGTGTAAAACGCGACATTTCGGCTCGAGCGGCAACTGTTTGAGCGCGTAGTGGCCCGCACGGCACAGAATCTTACATTTTTACACTTTCGTCGCTGTGTTTCAATAAGTAAAATCAATTGTACACTCCGAAAATTTGCATATCGATAGAAAATTTCTTCAGCTTTCTATTGGGACTATTTAGAAAAATTAAAAAAATGCCGTTTTTGAAATATTCGACTTTTAAGTTTTTTTGGCGGAGTTTCCGAGGAAAATGTAAAATTTTTGAAAATCTGACCTCTTTATCTGAAAGCTGAGGTAATTAACTATCGAAATGATGGGTTACTTTTTTCTTCCAAGAGCGTTTCGATACTTTTCACGTGAGTTAGAAATTGAGTGATTTCACTTAATTTGGCCACGTGGCGAAGCACTAGGACACTTGGTGTGAAATGCCTCCCATACCTAACAATATTTTTCAAGCTCGCTTGTGCTATGAATCCGCTAATCCAGTTTTCTGAATGTTCTCGATTATTTTCTATTAATTTTTAATATAATCGGTAGGTATACTATATGAATACAGACTATAGGTTCCAAAATTATATTTATACTTTAGAAGTAACCAATTATTGTACAAATTCATACTTCCAAATTTATTCATTAATAATAAAGTGTCACATATTTAAATGAAAAAAATAAATGTGAAAATTGTCAATAAATAATGGTAATGGAGTTGATTTTGAACTCTTCGTAGAATTTTTTTTATAAATTAAGTTTCTTTCCTGTTAGTAGATAACGTAAGAGAATTCACGTGCTGGGCATTCGGGTGGTCTACGTACGCCTAGTAGTCCGCATTCAGCACATTTATATGAGTAAATCTAAAATAAAATGCAGTTTCGTTAACAAAAAAACGTGAAATTTTTTTTTTGCTTGCCCAGGGGCTTGGACCCCCGAAAATTGTTGCTAGGGGTCCTAGACATGAGAAAAAACGCGTGAACATGAAATTTGAAGATGAATATTTTTAGTGTGTCAATTTTGTGTTTTAGAAAATGAAAAATCAAGTTTTTACGTAAATACAGCAAGTTACTCGATTTCTAAATCTTCGAAATTATTAGTATTAAGACTCACTTTAAAAAAGTAACTGACTTCTGCACTAGATAGAAAATTTCCTCAGCTTTCCGATGTTGGTATCAAATATTTCGATACTTTACATTTTCACTGAGAAAATCGTTATCAAACATACCGGGCTCAAAGAGGGGGCAAACATTTTTATCGAACTGTACAGTAAGTGGTGATTGGAACAGAAAATGATCAGTGTTAGATTGTTAATTATACTGTAAACATCTGTCCATCGACCTAAATTAATGTTTCGTACATATGTAAATATTGTAAATAGTGTAAATACTTCATTGTATATTGTTCAAATATTTTATTTTATATAGTGTAAATTTCCAATTTGAAATGGACGCGGAATTAGTGGACAAGAAATTACATATTGGCAGCTATGTGTACTTAAAATCTCGAAGTCATAGAAACAAGACATACTGGGGTTGTTGTCTTGTTTGGTCACAGCTATGTATGGCAAGAGCCGTTACTGTAATGGGTGCTTACGGAGAAATAATCGTTACCAGAGGTCCAGAGCAATCACCTCACTCGAACCACGTGGTCGTTCCAGAGACGTGCCCTGCTGGAAAAATCGTGTCAATGTAAAGGGAACTCTTGTACTAAATTATATGTAAATATTTCAATATGTAAATATTCGCATCTGTACGTAGTTTGAAACGACTTGCTGAAGAGCGCCCAGAAAAACCTCGAGCACCCAAAATATTGCGAATAGAATTAGCTGATGTCTCTGAAACAGTTCTCGCAAAATTACTGGAAAGAGAAAATTTGAAGAAGGCAATGAGACGAAAACGGCTCGTGGATCTGCCAAGTAATCCAACAAATATCGAAGTTCTGGAAGATTTACCTAATGGGTTTGCGAAAACTCTATAAGGACAATCCTAGCTCAATCTAGGGCATCAAAATAGTTTTATCATTTTTTGATGTCTTCAAAAACGTCTTCGGAATTTTGCATTAATCTTCGTCATGCTCTAGATTGAGCTAGGAGGCTCAATCGAAAACTTGAAACAGTCAGAATTTATTAAAATTTGACAAGGGATTCAAAAAATATATTTTCAAATTTTTTTACCGAAACAATCGGGTTCTAGAAACCATTTTTAATTAAGAAAAAAGCATTTTTCAGCTCTAGAAGCTATCACCTTCAATTTAAAAATTTGGAAAAATTTAAGGTTATGTATTTTGATAAAAAAAAACGAGAAAAAAGTTTTTCTAGATTTTTCGAGGCTCCGTATCGCCCAAAAAAAAATTATTTGCGTTTAAAAAAGTGGTTTTTTGCTTTAAAAGGTGTGTTAGATAATCGGAAAAAATCTGAAAAAAATTTAAGTCATGTTTTTCAATGCAAAAAAACTGAAAAAATTTTTTAGTTCTACATCGGCTCATATCGCCGTATCTCGATTTTCAGAATTTTTAATGATTTTATCTGAAGGCCTGAAGCACTCAAAAAATCTGAAAAAATTCAAAGTTGTTTGGATTATTAAAAAGTATTTTTATGAATTTTTCAGATTTTTTAATTACTTCAGGGCTTCAGAATAAATATAAATAGAAAATAGACGTTTATACCGGAAGTGGGGGGTAGGAGGGGGGAAGGGATCTAAACTTTCGTTTTTGGGACCTTTCCACCAGGTACTATAACATACTAAACGCGCGTCAAAATCGGTGACATACGTGCGCACAGTTTTGTAAAAAAGTATTATTTTGACCCATATTCATTTATTTTATTAGTCAAATCACGAGCGAGTTTTGATTGTAGCGAACTGCGTAACGCTGAAAACCGCGCGGCCGCGCTGATAACAGCTCGGGAACAGAAAACAGTGAACAGAGTAAAAAATTCGCTTTTATAACATTGGTATTCGACTGAAAAATTAAATGAAGTAATGGTTTCAATAGAAAATTTTCTCAGTTTTTTTGTGGTGCAGTAAGATTTTCTGATACACTTTATTTTCACAGGAAAAAATTAAAAATAAACCAAAAAGTTCACTTTTTCGTACTGAATTTTTCGAGATGTTTAGCCCAGTTACCTCCCACATTCCCGAATACAATTTCACGACAACCATTTTTACGACAAGTATTTTTCTCGGCGTCATTCAAAATTTTATGTGTGGAAATTTTTGATTCAAAAACTTACGTTCAATGATATAAGTTGAGCTAAATCGCTATCAGACATTACATTATCATCAGGTTGGTCTTGGAATTCAGCTACTTTTTGATTTTCTGAAATTGTTTTTATTTCAGTTGGTTCAGATGCAGCTAATTCTTTTACTCTATCAGCATAACGTAGGGTATTCAATGAATGTTCACAAGAAGTCATGCCAGGACTTATCATTGCTATCTGTAAAAATATAAAACACTTTATAAATTATTGTTTATTACAACAACTAAAGATATTCATGATCAGATTTTTATGTAGCCAATTCTCAGTCAAGTCGAACGGCAAAATTAAATTTTTTTTCTACAATTATGAAAAACTTATTGTTTATGATGATGGAAATATCTGGATCAAACTCGATCCAATTTTGAGTTTTCTGTTCATTTTATGTGGCTCAAAAAACGGAAAGTCTTGGATTTGCCTCTACGACCTTGGGGCCAGTCAATCCCTCAGCCGGCTTTACCTTTACAACGAGCAGTCCTGTTAACGTACCTGTACTACTTTATTTTTCATGCTTTTCTTTTAAATTTTTCAAGATTTTTCCTTCTTTCATAATTTGATGTTTTTAGTTAATCAATTTTAAAGAAGTTTCACTGTTAATAGATGTCTATGGATAGCTAACTTAATATTTTAGATTTACTTTTTAAAATTTTTAGATATTTTTTGTCATTGAATTTAAAAATATAATTGATTCAATTTTTCACAAATGCTTTCCGGTTAGTTACAAAGCCTAATTAAAGCATAGTTAAGCATAGTAAAGCATAGTTAGTGGCAGGCCAAAAATCAATCTATGTCCTGATATTGTATGAACTTGAGAAATTGATATATCCCGCTCAAAGCCACTCCGCACTCTAAAAAAAAGTAAACTTAGATTGTTTTGTTAAGCTGCGAGAAGTTTTAATTTTTATGTTAGAAGTCTGTACGTTTGCCTTAAACTCATTAAATAACAAAAAAATGTCTAAAAGTACCAAATTAACTATGTTGATATATCTTAATTTGACTCAGAATGAAGTATGTTCTTTCTGATAGCAAAATACAACTCTCATAGAAATTTTATTACTGAATCTTTATTAGAACACAAAAATGGCCACTAAAGCGAAAAATAAGATGAATAAAACCTTATTTCTCATACTAATACAGTAAAACCATATCTGAAATTCGACTTTAGAGGAATTTGAGCAACTGAATGAGGTACATAACACATTAATGATAATCTTAGCATTAAAGCAAAAAATTCTCAACCGAAGGTAGCAGCTCTGTACAATACTAAACCTGTCTGCACATTTACATAGGGATATACACACGGCATTTGGCTGTTCTTGTGTCAAAGATAGTCAGTGGTCATTTATAAAAACGTAGTTTCTAATTTCTATTAAGTCACAACCATAATCTAAATGATTGGAGTATTGTTAAGTGCTCTTATACTATTTTAGTACAAAGAACCATAGAAAATTATATAAAATTAATTCTTTGCAAATAGTATAATCTATATAGAATCAAAAAAAAATGAATGTACCACTTAGATGGTCGTTGCGACCATGCTCACACATGTACTGAAGAAGTGTATAAAAATTTGAATAAATTCATTCAGTGGTTTTCTGGGAATGCTACGAAAAACCTCCTTGTAATGGCTTAGAACAGTAGTTAAATTAATAGGAGTGGTATGCATAGCATGAGCACATATCTTTAATATGAGGATGAAAAAATGTTCTCAATGGTATGAAAGACCATCAGTTTCATCACTCCATGTTTACGACCATGACCGCTCATGCCTGCCCTAGCCCTACGTTAGTTAAAAACATATTATAGGACTCTTGTATGTGCCGCGCTTCATACACATATCTGCACTCATGAGTTGTAGTAAATGATATAATATACATGTGTTAGCGGCAAACAAAATTATGTTCAAAAATTTGTTTGAAAGATATTTTAACAATCAAATTCATTTACAATGTAAGATCATTACCGATTATTACCGCTGATTTTCCCGTCAAGTTTACAAGAGCAAGGAGCTCAACCCCCCACGGGGCGTTCCTGCAGTTTCCCTCTTCTTCTCACCCATGTGATCGCATACAGCGATCTCAAGCCGCCGCAACATCGAGCGTACGAGTGGGGCGAAGCGCGCACCTATAAAAGGCACGCACCGGTCTCACTCGGCCTTGTACTATTTTCAAATCAACAATGTTCTAACAATATAACAGTAAACTTCTAGAATAGCCACGTGCTCATAAGTTAGCCCCCGGGCATAAGGTAATTTTAAGGTTAACTAAAGTGGGACTTGCTCTGACATAACAGACAAGCAAATACAAACCCATGCTATGCGCATCAATGCAAATACTGGGCAGTATCCAATTAATGGGTTACTCTCATTAATTGGGCTGGTATGCTATACTGTTATGATAATGAAGCCATTCATTATCACATCAGATCCCCCCACATCGTGTGTACGATCGCAAAAGCGATTTCAAGCAAGCAATTACCTCGAGACCACTCGGTAAAAGCAGCTGGAGATCGCCGATGCGAACGAGCGCGATGCCTTACGTTTGCGTGACGCAGTCTGCAATTCTCAATTTCATTCGTACGCAAGTATGTTTGATAGAAGCGATGTGACACGTCACAAGACGAGCGTAAGGTGATTTGTGTGGTCAAGTGTAGTGAATCTTGTATCGAAACCATCCTCCTTTCTGATGCAGAACTCGACTGTCGTATGCGCATCACCATCGTTTCCTGCCCGCTTAGAGTGAATTGAGTGTGACCAAGTGAGGGACTCATCGGCATTTCTGCATAAATGCAAGTATTTTTTTTTCTATTTCATCAATACGCTCCATAAATATACTCGGTCATATCGCGTATCAAGTCGTGAATAGCGATAGACACACGACCCACGAAGCCTAACCTGTACGCGCTTTGTAAGCACGATAACACGTGCAGCAGCAAGTACACGTGACGTACGTGGTCGAATCCGCAGCGTGTATAAACTCACAAGGCGTGCATCAGCAGTGAGAGCTCCGCGAGCCTCCCCTACTTTCTTCTACGCATCATAGCCACGCCCCTCTGCCGACGTTCCTCGCAGCAGTACACAAACGCTGTGAGAGAGCCCGAGCAAGTTCGCGCCTATATGGGAGTGTTCACGAAAGTCGTGAACAATAAAAGTGCGGTATTTCGACGCGTGTAATTCTTTTTTGTATAACATCATTCGTGTTAATCCGATATTGCAAGACCGATATCCTGTGAAGACGGTGTAACTTTCTTATTGTATTTAGAAGCAATACTTAGTTAACAGTCGCATAATTAATTCCAAATAATAAAATAAAAAGCGATTATACTCTACCAAATTATCAGTCCTAAAGGTGTTTCACGAACCCCCTCATATAAAACAATCATCACCATACAAATTTTTGTAAGCATCAACGCAACTCGCAGTGCGCGTCAGTAGAGACAGTGCCGTAGAACGCACGCGTGTATCAGACAACGAGGAGAAATACCAATACACACTGCGAGTGCTTTCAAAAAGCGAACGTTGCCTTTCAATATATGGAAATTATTGAATTACCAACAATTGTTCGTGTGTATGAGTGTATGTATGTACGACAATGTAGACTGAGAATGGAATGTAAGCTCAGCGCAGCTTCTTTTTATTATCTTAAATAAAAAATTATAATTATTATAATTATTATAATTAATTAATCATTATTAAAGATATATAGAAATTCAACCAAAATATCAAAATTTCAATCCAGTTTTCTGGAACTTCTACTGAATATTTCTCCGAAAAGCGCTATGGCAACCTTCATTTTGATGTTTTTAAGGTCGTCATAAAGCCTTTTGGAGAAATATTCAGTAAAAGTTTTAGAAAACTGGATTGAAATTTTGATTTTTTGGCTGGGTTTTATATCCCCTTGAAATTTCAGTCTGTTTCGTACGCGAGCCCGGATCAAATGTCAATAACAGTCTGCTGACTGCGTCTTGATTTTCCAATGGCTGAAAATTACATTTTTTTTGAAAGTGAAAAAAGTACATGTACAGTGAAGTTATATCTTTGCAACTTGACATAGTGTTTCATAATAAATCTATGAAGATGTTTCAATAGTTTTTTATGAAAATGTGACATTTTTAGCAGTTCAAATTCAAGAAATACAGCAGTACACATGTAAATTGACATAGATACATCAGTGTATATGTATGTCACTGTACTTTATGAATATGTATATGACTGTATCATGTATATTATTCATATATATTGTTGCATGTGATGAACAAGATTAGTGATAATTGTTCAATTTTGAGTGAGTTTTGCTTCCTCATAGAGGAAGCTCTGTGATAGGCTCGAAAACTTATTTTAGGATCCACCGAGTAGTTAAAGAGTTATGCTTTATTGTATCGTAATGAAAAATGGTTTTTTTTTGAAAAAAAATTTTTTTTCGATTTTTTTTCTTGTTTAAATGAAGAATTTTTATATTTTTTACGGTAGAATGAAAGCAGAGCAGTCAAACTTTAATTTAAGACCAAAAAAATAGAAATTCACCAAATATTTTTAAAATTAACGACTCGAAATGAAAAGTTGTTTTTTTTTTGCTTCCTCATAGAGGAAGCTCTGTGATAGGCTCGAAAACGAGATTTTGAACCAGACCTCGTAGGACAATTTGGTTTATATATTTGGAAACTACATTGAATTACCATCAAAATTTGACAATAGACATGGAAAGTCTAATATCACCTAAAAGACCTCAAGTTTCATACCCATAAGAATGCGTTTCACTATCAGTCAACTACATTAATTTATACTTAGTTGATAATATTTTAAATCTATTAGATAGGATTGCTGATAATTTTCGAAAAATTGGATACTGTTCTGTATATGATTCATTGATTCATTGGTACTTTTAAAAATTATGCATTACCATACAAGTCTTTGATTTTTCTCCGATGAAGCTGTCTCTCAAAACTTGCGTTAATTTGCTTGCTCTAAATGGAAGATGAGTGCCTTTTCGTCCAAGAGCTCGAATACATTCTTTTAATGCCAATAAAGATTTATTTATTTCAGCTCCTTCCATTCCTTTAATAATTATCAAAAATATTAATTTTGTAGTTGAAATATTTATTATAGATGTATTTTATAAATTAATGTATATGTAGGTAAAAATAATTTTTAAATATGTTTAATATTGTATTTAAGCAAAGTTAAGTACAATAGTTATCTAGTAAAAGTAGTCCATAATTGTTAGAATATACGTTGGAACCTCCCAGACAATTAAAATGATTTTATAGCACTGCGTGGCTAAAGTTCACGTTTAAGGCACGCTTTGCCGTGACTTAAGCTGCTCATTATTGTACCGCGGCGCGCATATCACACTCGCTACGCTCGTGCGCTAACCTCACACCGCGACGCTATTATGAGCACCTTATATCTCGCCAAAGGGGGCCTAAACGTGAATTTAGCACAGTGCTATAAAAAGCGTATGATACTTATGACTCAAGTAGCCCATTCTTACCACGGCACTAGCACCCTCGCTTCGCTCGGGTGCTAACCGTGCCGTGCAATAATGGCCTGCTTAAGTCACACGTATCATAATATACTATTATAGCACTGTGCTAAATTCACGTTTAAGGCACGCTTTGCAGTGCTATAAAAAAACGTAAGATACTTATGGCTCAAGTAACCCATTCTTAACACAGCACTAGCACCCTCGCTTCGCTCGGGTGCTAACCGTGCAGTGCAATAATGGCCTGCTTAAGTCACACGTATCATAATATACTATGTGACGTTGTGGTCATATGACGAGCCGAGTCAATGCGGAGTTGAGCTCACAAACGGAGCAATACTCGCAATTGAGCCCGGCGGTCTGCGGGCCGAGCGAGCGACTCGCTGGTGGGCCACAGAGAGGGGGAAGCGCGAGCGGCCTCCCGCGGAGTCGCGGAGTGAGTCGATCGAGTAGCAGCAGAAGAGTCTGAAAGGTATAGTAGAGTATTCGACCGATTGCGTAAGTGATCGGACCTCAGCCCATTCTAAGCCCTTAGCTAAGAATTTTTCGATAATTTCCTTAAAAAGCGTGTGCGAGAAGTCGAGCGTTTTGGTGAGTAATACTTGCTGTGTGTGTGTTGAGTGCAGACCACTGCACCGAGTGTGATACGTGTGTATCCGCGTGGCGCGTGGACGTGCCAGCGGATAGCCTCGTCGGGTGCGTGGGTCTGCGAGCGATTGCACTAGCAAGTGCGAGTCTGTGTGAGTGTGTGAGTTTTGGAGAGGACGTGGGGACTAACCTCGTCGTCTGGGTTTGGCGCGACGCGGCCTCAAGGCCCTCAGGCGACCCGTGCTTCGGCACCACCGGCCTCCTGGCATCGCGAAAGCGAGTAAACTCGTCCGGATTTAGGCGCGGGATAGGTAGGGACGCGGAGATAGGCGCGATACATCGGCGCGGTAGAGCAGACCTAGCTCGGCATCGGACTCGTGTTCCCCTGAGCGAGTTGCAGCGTACCTGGGCTAGCCGGCCAGGTAACTGGGTACGAGAGCGTACTTGTGGCGCTCGTCTGGCGCTCCGCGGTTGCGGTAAAGCCGACGAGCACACCGAGACGAAAAAGCCAAATTGCGGTGCATCTGCGAGCGAAAAGCGAGGCGTGCGTCGCCCGCGCGGATGCGCCGTCATAACTATTATAGACTATTATCTCTTTTATTTAAAGTAATTCACAGTAATTTCGAGGTAATTTTTCAATACGAAACAAGTTGGAGCGAACTCAGATGTAAAAATCATTGAATTTTACTCACTATGAAACAGTAAAAATTATAAATCATCATTTCATTTATCACAACAAATACTTCATAATTAAGTTATTAATTATGCTTCCTATCGAGTAAAAAAACGGAAATTTAAGGTATTTCAATGAAATTGATTTTTTCATTTAAAAACACTATTTTAATTTCCGCTTGATTGTGACACTAAAAAATTTATCCCAGGTCACCGAACTAATCAATTGCCTAACTATTCACGAAAAATTAATCTGAAAATAGATCTTTCAGCATGGGCATTTATGAAATGTTATAAAAAGTTCAAAGAGAAATCTCTATAACTTTATCAATTGTGTTACCAGAGCAATAAAAAACAGTTTATTAGAAAGCTACATTCATCATCTTTCCTTAAGAGTTTTGGAAAATACATGTTACTGATAATTCTGAAGAGATATTGTAATAAAAGTCAACGATCAACGAATTTTAGTTTATTAGCGACTGAGTGTAATTGGTAGGACTTTTTGCGTATGCAGAGAGCTTGACGCTATTCACTGTACGCTATCTGCTCTTCGCTGTACGCTGTAGGGCTGTGCGAGTACTCAAAAAAACTCAACTCGTCGAGTTTGAGTTTTTTCCTTGAGTTCGAGTCGAGTACTCGATTTTTTAGGTACTCGAGTTTTTTCGAATACTCGTAATATATTTAAGTTTTAAGTAAATAAATGATGAATCAACAGTCTCTAGACCCCTCTGTTTGTGTGTACGTGCTTATAAGTGTGATGAGGAGTGGTACTATTAAATTATTTTCTTCTTCCAATTCTAGCCGTTGCGAATATCACACTTATAAGCATATACTTACAAAGAGAGGGGTCTAGAGAATGTTGATTCACTATTTATTTACTTGAAATTTAAATACATTGCGAGTACTCGAAAAAAATCGATTATTCGAAAAAACTCGAGTACTCGAATTTTCCCGACTCGACTCGAACTCGACTCGAACTCAGCGAGTCGAGTTCGAATCGAGTAAAACTCGAAAAATCAGATACTCGCACAGCCCTAGTACTATGTAACAATGTGCGCTGCGTAACGCATTTATATAGCTATCAAATATAGAACCCCCTGGCATCGCTACAGCCTCCTTATACCGGTTAAACTTTTTGAAATATTTCTTATGTTATTATTGCATTTTCAGATTGTTCATATTTTGGAGAACCACTTCATTAAATTTGGTACAGAAATTCGGATTTCAAATCAGTCAAGATCAGGATTGAGTACAAGCTTGTACACGGCATTCAATGACATTTGAAAACTTTGAACGCGTTCATTTCGAGGTGGTATTTTTTGCATGGTGGACAGTTAATCTTCGGATTTACTCGACCGTATGAAATTTCACTTACTTTTGATTAACATATCCGGCAAGACAATATACCAGAAAATTACAGAAAAAAGAAAAATTTTATTAAGTATGAGATAATAAAGAAGACAGACCAGGATAAAAAAGATTTTTCAGAAAGGATATGTATAATAAGGATATCAACCACTTGCAAGGCTAACGGTACCGTCACGTACACTAGTGTCCGTTTGATTCGGTTTTCCCTTGCAGACTAACATGTAATTACAAATTACGTTTGTAGTGCAATAGGGGCTTGCGCGAGTTTTGATGCTCCTTGTGAATAAATGGAGGGTTAGAATCGAGGTCCGAATAAGTAGATAGGGTAGACAGTTACTGCGTTGCAAGATAAAAAGTATCATCTGTTCATCTCGCTGCTCGCAAAGAGTTATTTAAATGTGCCTGTGATATAATTTATTACTAATGCTACATATTATCAGACATATTGCTATATAGTGTGCCAACCAAATTAAAAGAGATATTTTTTTTTCTACCTCTCTCTCTACCTTATCTACTTATTAGGACTTCGATTATAACCCTCCATTTATTCATAAGGCGCTTCAAAACTCGCGCAAGCCCTACACTACAAACGTAATTTACGTAGTCTGCAAGGGGGAACCGAATCAAAAGGACACTAGTGTACATTAGTACGGAACGGAAATTGCAGATGAAAGATGTACAGTAAAAACCACTTTATGCTATCACAATGGAAAAAAAGGTTTTTATCGAAATAACCAGTAATCAATAGTTGGAAAGAAGCAGTAATCAGTGAACACATCACTATTGATAAAAACTGCTGCCAATTTAATGTTAACCAATTAACGCCGGGAGGACACGTTTTTGACATTCTATCATTGCGTAAATTAAAAGTTATTATAAAAAATTGCAAATTTACACAAAAATCACGTTTTTGACGTCAAATTTCATTCTTACACTTAATACTTTTCTAGATAAAAAATAATTTTTGTCAACATCGCAATAGTACATTACGATACGAGGGCCATAAGTAGCACTTTTTGGCACGGCGTAGATTAAGGCCCGAGCGCAGCGAGGGTCCTAATAGCTGGGCCGAAAAGTGTCCCCATGGCACGAGTATCGTACAACATTTTATAGCATTGTGCTAAGTTCATATTTATGCCCCCTTTTCCGAGTCATGAGTCGCACTTTCTGGTACCGCAAAGTGAGGTTAGCGCACGAGCGTATGCGAGTTAAGTTTAGGGAAAAAATTCATAGACATAAACGCTTTGGAATTGCCAAAGAACATCCTAAAATTTCTTCAGGATTTTGGAAAGTTATTTTGGAAAACCGGATTTTCCAAATATTGGGGAAATGGAAAAATTGTCTGAAAATAGAATTCAGAAAAAATTTGAGTGGAACAATTCTAAGACATTTTTGTTCCATTAACTTTTTCTCCGAACTCAATAGTTTATGATATAAAAAATAAAGAAATTGAAAAGTCAATTTTGTTATTTAAGCCGCCATTTTGTTAAGAAAAACATTGTCCGACAAAACTGATTATTGTTTCTCAAGGCAGAAACCTCGAGAGCACATTCGATAAATATTCTGTATAGATAGAATGAATTTGTTATTAGATAACATAAGACAAAAAAAATTAACAAAAATTTGTGCCCAAAAATGAAAACGTCTGCTTTTAAAAATAATAAACGCTCATTACAAGATTGTCCATACCTGAAGTCAAATATCGAAATCGTCAAAGAATTATAAATAAAGGTGTTATGAACTTATTCTTGACTGTGAAATTTTATGAAAGTTTTTGTTCACAAGAAATAAAAAGTACTTACGAGTTTGTCTGTTAGCAGAAGACGTATCAGCACCACGTTCATTACCAGCTAAATCAATGAGAGAAAATTTTCCATGGATTTTATGCATTCCTTGAGTGCGGGCTATTATTTGAAAAACAGCATGAGACCTTGATGAGTTTGTGTTTGCACTTGTTTGACCACTCGTCCTTACGGCGTTACCATGCTGTATTAACTTCAAAACTTCATCACAGTTTTCAACAACTTTTTCAGTTAGTCCAACAATTTGTACCTATAATAAAATTTTCGAAATAGAATTGTCTTGAATTTTTATTAAATTTGTAACATTACTACGAAATACATTTCTTAATATTTTTGTATTGAATTGAAAAAATCAACTATTTTTCAACATTTACACAATTAATTCTCAATAACATTTTCTACGTGCGTAGCAAAGGGTACACGATAATTTTTCAAATTCTTCTTTTCCATTGCACCGAAAATCTGAAATGGGAATTTCCGATTGGTAGAACTTAAGAATTATAAATAAATACGGATGAATAATACTTTCTTACAAAACCGTGCGCACGTATGTCACCGATTTGGGGGGTGAGAGGGGAAGGGGGTCCAACATTTTGGTTTTTGGACTTTTTTACCATGTATTATAACATACCAAAAGGGCGTCCAGATCGGTGACATACGTGCGCACGGTTTTGTAAAAAAGTATCATTTTGATCCATCGATAAATAATAAAGATAAAAGTAGCAAATCTACGTTTATTTATTGAGAATTAGAACGTTAAGCAGTAATATTTTATCAATTGTTTCAGTCAACTTGTAACTGGTCAACCTGAAGGTAATTATTCGGTTACCATTATTTCACAGTAAGCTTGCTCTTCTTGGAATTTTGTGGAAGCAGATAGCGCAGCTGCCAAAATCGTACGCATAATATTATCGTTTCTACGAAACTTGGGTATGTTCTTGAAATTGAAAAAAAAACATTTGAGGAAAAATACCTTGTCAGAAGAATGGAATCGAAAAAATGTGTGGACACAATAGTAGAGTGGTCTCTATTTTTAAAATTGCGGAATAACTTGCTTTTAATTATTATGGGCTTGTATACACCTTCAATTTTCGAAAAATAAATTTATTTTCTTGTTTTATAGCCAATTTTTTTCTCTTTTCGATGCTCTATTCATAAATTCGAAGTTCCGATTAATTCAAAGAATACAGTTGGTTTTCTGAATAAATCCAATTTATTAAAATTCTGACTATAAATCTCGTGATCACCACAGAACTCATAATTATAAACACTGAATTTCATGTACACTCTATATAATTCAGCAGAAGATTGTCCCATTGATTTTTAGAATTTTGACTTTCCTAGATAAACTAGGCTATATCCAAGTTAATGTGGGACATCTAAATGTGATTTCGAAATGTGGTTGGAAAAAGGTTCTAAATACAGCAGAATTTTTCCAATTAACCAGATTATATTCATACTTATTTTTTCACGCATTTTGAACAAATATTATTTTAAGGTGTGTATAAACACATAAGGGACTATCATTGGTAAAAGAAGAAATGAAAAAAGTTGTGTTTATTATTTTTCTTCTCACCTCTTTTATTATGTATTTGAGGATTTCCAATAATTTTCGCTCAAATTTAAAAATCGGATTCATGGATATTCTTTAAAGGACATCCATGTATCTCGAAACAATATGAATAAAATGACAAATTTTATTCGAACTTTGGCCGGGAGAGATTGTATTTCAACAAATTATACAGGTCATATGCATCGAAAATCTACCTTATTATAACATGTGTATGAAGAAGGTGGCGATATATTTGAAACCGAAAAAGGTAAAAAAGAAAGTAGACCTGTCGTATACGCCAATGCATCAAAACTTCTCGAATTAATTTTTGAAAACCGAGATATTAATACTATTGAACATTGTAAAATTAAGTTGATGGCGGATGGAGGGCAAGGCTTCAAAATATCCATCGCTGTTTTAACAGAAGAATTTAATAAACCTGACGAACATGAAAATCAAAGAGCACTTTACTGCGTTGGTGGAAGTGCTTTGAAAAAACGTAATTTGAATAATGTCTACCAATTACTTTCACTCGGCATTGTACCGCGATCAAAGAAAGTCATGAAAACATGAAAACTTTATTTGAATTAACAAAAATTAATGAGATACCATTCAAGTTTGCTTCTGATTATAAACTTATGTTAATTGTTAATGATTAGCAAACAGCATCGTCAACATATCCTAGCCCTTACTGTTTTATTACTCTAAATGAGTTGCATAGTTTAGGGAAAGTAAACGTGAGTCCTGATGACGAAATAGTATATTTTGCACCTAGGGAGTGAAAAACTGGAACGTCTCAAGGCACGTGTAATTTATCATTCGAGGCGAAGTCGAGGTTGATGATCACGTGCTCTGAGACTTTCATTTTTCGCTACATAGGTGCAAATACAATTTTTTGTTAATCCCCCAGCCTAAAGTAACATTTTGGTTTTGCTCAGCGAAAGTAAAGATGATGATATGTACGTAACTCAAAAATGCATTTTGCCTGAGCTATATTTACTGCAAGGTTTCGTAAACCATATTTTTTGGAATGGTCTTGTTCCAGAGATTGGGCGTGAAAAAGCTCTACTCTGGTCCCACAAGTTGTCGTTGGTTCCTAAAACCTATCAAGGTGAAATTTTCGAAGGTAATTGCTGTAGAAAGCTTCTGAAACACGCGGATAACTTGGATGATCCCGAAATCTACAAAAATGTCGGGCCATTTCGTTTGCAACCTTGTATTTCTCCGTTTAAAATTATGAACAAAATTGTAGACTCTTGTTTTTCTACAAAACGAGCCGATATTACCAATTTAGATGTAAATTTGGCGGCTTTTCGTGAAGCTATTGTCAGTACTGTAGTATCTCAGACTGTAAAAATTCACGTGCTTTTTTAGATCATCTGAAAAACGGTCTTGCTTTTTTAAATAATGACGGCTTAGGATTGTGGTCGGAGCAAGCGGGCGAATCAGTTCACCGTGGGCTTTTGAAGTATTGGGAGCGCTTCAAAATAAATGCAATTGACGATAAGTCATTCTCGAGTAGATTAAAGAGGGCAGTAACTTTCTCGTCGCAACATATGTAAGGGCGCTATGTGTGGATTAGGCCTATAGGGGATACCACGTAAACAAAGCGTCCATAATATTTATATAAGTACACTTATATGATGTGTGTTTTACATAAATAAAAATAGTTCGATCCTCTTCTTACAGATCGTAAAGAAATAAATAGAGATTTTTGGATAATAAGTGAAAAATACGTATAACTTTTGAACAGGATCAGCTAGGATTTTGGTTCGAACGGTTTTTTTCATCTGTTATTGACCGACTAAACAGTAGTGCAATCAATTTTTGGAGGCCATTTTGATGAAACCTATCGCGGCTTCAGGTCCATCATGTGTACTTGAATTGATAACAATAACGTATATTTTGTAACCGCTGCTGCTTTACAACATTTTTCAATACAAAAATTTATTTTTCTATGGACTTTTTTTTTTAATTTTTCATCAATAAAATACTGGACAATTTTATTATTAAAAATATCATAATTTTTTTCATTCACGGGTTAAGCTTAAAGGTTTATATACACCTTAAACTTAACATTTTTTTATTAAAATTTTGAATAGGATTTTTTCTCCCCTTTCCATTGCATATTTCGAAATTCTAAAATTTTGATTTTGCACTGGGATACAGCTGTTTCCGTGAGCTTTTTTCGTATACTTTACGTGTTAAAATTTTTCTTCTTTTGCATTTTCTGTCGAGTAGTGTTTTTGGTTATCTCTCGTAACTTTCAGAGGGTACCGATTGAGTTTTCTGCACCAGGGTCACGTACACTTCTTCAGAACATCAATGCTCACGGCCACAACTACGGCTGAGACGACCGAACACTCAGATTGCTATGCATGAAAAGTTAAACACACATTTTTTTCATTATTCGTTTTTGCTGAAATTTAATTCATAAAAGTACGTTTTCAGAATGATCTATGAGCTCAATCGTCTCACCCATAGTAGTGGCCGTGATCATTGATGTTCTGAAGAAGTGTACGCGACCCTGGTGCAGAAATCTCAATCGGTACCCTCTGAAAGTTACGAGAGGTGACTAAAAACTCTACTCGCCAGAAAACGCAAAAGAAGAAAAATTTTAACACGTAAAGTATACGAAAAAAGCTCACGGAAACAGCTGTGTCTCAGTGCAAAATCAAAATTTTAGAATTTCGAAATATGCAATGGAAAGGGGAGAAAAAATCCTATTCAAAAATTGAATAAAAAAATTTTGAGGGACATTCCTATTGCCAACTGTAAAAAAATCACTTTTTAAGTTTTTTTTTTTTTTTTGAAAACTATAATTTTTATTCATTCCGGACCTTTTGGGTATTATTTCTTACATATTAAACTATAAAAAAATTTTGTTTGTTGGCTGTAGACGGAATTTGCTGAAATCCGTGTTTCGGCTCTTGGCAGCGATTGAGAAAAACTACTGGTCCGATCTTTACGTTTAACGTCTCGTTTTAATCGTTACAACTTTTTCTAGCAGACAAACCTCTAAAAAATTGATATTTTCAATTTTTACGATTTTGGCACGAGTTTTTCTTAAAAAAATGCTCTTTTGGGGGGTTATGGGGGTGAATTCACCCCTATAAAAAGAATGGGGGATGATTTTTTCAACTTTTTAGAGGTTTGTCTTCTAGAGAAAGTTGTAACGATTAAAACGAGACGTTAAACGTAAAGATCGGACAAGTAGTTTTTTCGCAATCGCTGTCAAGAGCTGATAAAAAGTAGTTATGAGAAAAACGCGTCGGAAGTTTTGTTCTGTACATAACGAGCACGCTAGACGCTTCGTGTAATCGGGTATAACTTTTTTTTCTTTATGAATTTCATTCTAAAATTTTAACAGGATATTTTTATGATGTTATAGAACGTTTTAACGTAAAAAAAATATGGATTTTTTTTTCATTTTTAATGGGAATGTCCCCTTAATTGGGGGGTTGGCGAGCGGAGCGAGCAGGGGGAAGGAGACCCCCTAGTAAATTTATATTGCCAAAATAAATTATTGCCAACGACCCAAAAGATGTTGAAAGAAGCACGTCGTGTGCGCGGCGATCCTGGTCCGCTATGATTGAGCATGGATCCATGCCTGGGGCTTGTCGCGAATCAGGTGCTCGGGGACAGTCGTCCAGCACTGAGCTCTGTAACTTCGAAGAAGGAGCGAACCATGTGAACAGTTTTCGAGCGGTAGCATTCGCCGTGAAGGATAAAATGTATTAAATTATAATGTTTGAATGCAGAAACGGCTTATTGCTACGGACCCGATCAGCTACGTTTTTGGCTGTACTTTTAGCCGGCTGGCTACGCTCTAACGAGTCTGTCGACGTGCCCAGCGCTCAGGCCCCGTGATACGTCTTGATTATTACTGTGCAAGTGCAGAGAGACTCAGTAGTGATGCCGGTACATCACACCATTAACCCAAAGAAATCGAATCGACCCACAGCTCGAGCAGTTTTCAAATAATAATATGCAAACTTTGTTAGCCCATGAAATCTGGCGCATGCGGTTTTTAAATGACCAAATCTGCAAAGTAACTGGTAATAAATAGTTATTTATGCAACAAGTGCTCAAAAGGCAATTTTGGGCACAGCGTAAGGCTGGCGTCAGCCCTCAACTGGCAGAGGGTCAGGCGTTTGTGGTGGCGTAACTGGCACTTCTTACAGTTTTGTGAGCAAAAGTACTGGCTACGCTGTCATGAGAAAAGACTCGTTTTGAAAAAAAGCTGGGTTTGCGCACACTCGCTGCGACAACCCACATCTCGTGCGATAACCTCCCTTCGTACACTTCAACTTACAAGAAGAGCTTTTCAGGTCCGGGTCACAGATCTTTACCAAACTTTTTTCGGGGTCTTTTTGTACTCAATATTGAAGCTCTCCGTGCTTAGTTTGATCTCATTGGCCTTAGGGCCCATTTTTTAGAGGATTTTCCACATGATAAAAATATCTTTGTTATTTTCTATATTGATATAGAAGTAAACGAAAAAATTCAATAATCAAAAGTTTTAAAACTTTTCAAAGAATCTGCTTGAATTTTTTCAGAATTTTTGGGACCATTTATCACATAATTAAAGACGCCCAAATTTGACGCTTTTTTAATAGATTTTAGGACTTCTTAAAGAGAATGGTAGATGGTCCCAAAAATTCTGAAAAAATTCAAGCAGATTTTTTGGAAAAATTTTAAAACTTTTGATCGTTGCATTTTTTCGTTTAAGTACTTCTATATCAATATAGAAAAGGCCCATGAGATCAAACTAAGCACAGGGAGCTTCAGTATTGGATAGCAGGAGACCGCAAAAAAATTTTGGAGCAAATCCATGACCCGGACCTGAAAAGCTCTCCTTGTTAGTATAGTACTATAAAATGCCCAAAGATACTCCTGCTATGAGAACACTTTTTGGCTAACTATTAGGACCTTCACTGCGCTCAAGCCCTAAACTACGCCGTGCCAAAAAGTGTTACTTAAGGCACTTGTAACGTAAATTACTAAATACACTATGTTGAGCTGCCACCAACATGTCATGTCGTTCTGCAACTTTTTATTTTTCCTATGATGATCTCTAAGTTGAGTTGTCCAAAAGATTTGAAATCGGTAACCCGTACATACGTGTGAAGCACGACCGCGCGAGAGAATCGTCAAAATATAGGCTGCTATCGCAATAAATACGTATACGCGCTAGTCGCTTATCTATTTGCAAAATCAATGCGGCGTCGTGTAAATTTATTTATCTCGCGTGCTGAACGTGTTAGTGCGTGTAGCTCGAACAATATATTATCCAATGTATGGTGCATTATTTCAAAAGCGTGATATGCCATGTCTTATTATCGTAGCTATTATAAAACTTCAAAAAAATGAAAACTAAGACGGTAGAACCTTTCATTTTACAGAATCCTACCTTCCGAAAGTATAAAATGTCCATAAATTACGACCACATTGATTTGCCAGCCAAATAAACATGCAAAATGTCCCCTCTGTGACCTGTCCTGGACTGAGAATCGATTGTTTCCATTTATTAAACACATTTTAAAAAATATCCAGCAATATTGTGGTACATGGGCTCTATTCTAGACATCCTAAATAAAGTTTTTTTGTGTCACTCGTCATTTTAAATAGTCTAAAAACAAAGGGCACATAAGTAACAAATGTGTCCTTCAGTTATGTGGAATTTTATATCATTTCAAAAATAGGCCCAGCAAACGTGCTGGACAGTAATTTTGACCTCTCTTATTAAATGAGGGTCATCTTTCAGAACTAAGGTACTCGATTTTTACCCGTAGAATACTCAAATTGTAATTGCAGCTTCACTATAACAATCCGAACAGTAAAATCAAGTGTGCCCTCCGTGACAAGTTTTCATGTTTGCAACAAGAAAATAAACGGATTAGATGATGACCGATATAAAGTAAATATTCCATGAAAAAACAAAGAATCGAGTGATAGAAACTACGGAGGTCCGGAAAAATTAAACTCAAAATAGATGAAAGTAAGTTTTACGGTGTTTCCAATATTGTCCATTTTACCCACTCTAAATATCACACTTATGAAATAATGCACCATATACTACTAAACTATATGAACGCATCGAATGTGAAACTTCAGAGTCCTTTCCCTTGGTTGAATTTTCTTTCTGAAATTTTTCTAAATTTTTCTCGATTTTGAATGTTTGTTTTTTAATTCAATTTTTGACTTCCTTAAACCTTAATTTTTCAAAACTTTATTTTCAAGGCTTTTCTTTTATAAAATAACAGATTTTTCTTTTTCATAATTTGATGTTTTTAATCGATTAATTTTAAAGAAGTTGCACTGTTTAAGTCCATTCATAGACATCTTATTTAATATTTTGTCTTGAATATAATATTATTCAATTATTCAAACCATGATTGTATTGTTATATATGAAATGGCAATCGAAAAATTATTATGCTTACTTGTTGTTTTCCATCTTCTAAGACCCTTAGTTTTTCTTTGTCTGCAAGTAAATCAAATACTTTCCCTGAGTAAATCTCAAAAAAACTCGCTGAAATTATTAAATTCAGAGGACGGTATTTTGTCATTTTAAGGCACTTAAATACATCTTTTGCAACCATAGCATATATTCCTTTTTTGCAATCTTGAACTTTACCATTAAAGTCGCCGCCCATCGTATGGGTTTTCCCGCTACCAGTTTGACCGTAAGCAAAACATGTGGCCATGCCTCCTTCAAATATGGTTGATACTAAAGATTTTGCAGTATACTTATAAACCGTTTCATTTGAACAGGATTCATCAAAAGCATAATCGAATCTGAACATTTGGTTTTCCAAGTATTTAGTCAAGTCAACCTTTGCTTTAGGTTCATGAACCACAATTTGATCTTTCCTCGGAATACTTACAACATCAATTTCTTTTCGTGCAATTTCTTTTTTATTTAATGGTCGTTTTCGAACGCATACAGTGATTTGATGATCTTCAACAGGATCATCTTCATTCAAAGGATGAAATTCAATGCTGTTTTGATATTCTCTATAAAACAAAAATGATTGTATTAGATAATTAAATAGTTAACTAATGAAATACCATTAATAATACGTTAATAAACCTTATCATAGCTAAAAATTCCCAGTTTGGATTTCCTGGATCAAGATTCATAAGGGCTTCTTTTTCTTCTTTTAATTCGGCTTGACGTAGCCGTCTTTCTTCTCGGTTTTTCTTCAATCTTTCAACCTCTTTGACAACATTTGATCGACGATTTCTACCGTTATCTAAAAATTGTTGATGATGGGTTTGAACTTTTTGTTTATAAGCACAAGAATTTGGTACAGACGTGGTTGACGTAGTAGGAGTTGGTGGTATATTTTCAATTTCGCGACGACCAGAATATTGACAGTTTTGATTATCTTCATTTCCATTAGAAGAATTCGGCATTATATTCGTGGGTCTATTAATTTGCCTTGAAGATGGCTTATTGGCAACAGCTGAAATTAAAATTCGCAAACAAAATTTAAGTCCTTTGATGTAATTAATATTTAACATCATCATGAAATCCGGGTTTTACTAATCATTATAGTATTATTGAAAAAATAATGACAATATTTCACTCAACAATATTGATTTACTGATAGTTTTATGATAAGTGTAACAGTCGCTAGCACGGACAAAGTATCAAGGAACTTCGCTTGGTTAATTCATTCGTCACGCTTCGGCCGAAAGGCCAATTGGGTGGTCAGCAATATTGCGGTTGACCTCTAATAAGAAAAGCCTCTCATCCCCGGGTCACAGATCTTCTCTGAATTTTCTTGGGGGTCTCCTAGTACATAATAATGAAGCCTAATATGATTAGTTTATTCTCATACACTCTAAACTCAAAAGAGTAACTTTCGAGCCTCAAAAAAATAATCTGCGTTATATACTTTTTTTAAAAAAGTAAATGGTGGCTACAAAAACAACGCCATTTCACGGTGCTGGTCGCGAAGAAAATTCCATTTTAAAATATGCCACGAACAAAATTCCAATTCAGATTGTGCCACGAAAAAAATTCCATTTCAAAATATGACGTGGAAAAAAATTCCAATTCAGAAAATGACACGACAAAAATGCCGATTCAGAAACATAATACTACCGTACCAAAAAATGGCCTGATAGTCGAGACTCATTCAGAGATGGCTTTTTCTTCGCGGCACTTTCTGAAACGGAATGAAATGTCTAAAATGTATTTGTCATTTAACTTTTTCATGTTTTAAACATATTTTCCAATAAAGAACCCCTTTAACTCAATTAGGTTATTATATCACTGTGAACGTTTTAAGGAGGCTCTTCACATCATACAAAAGATCATCCAACAAGATAAAACTTATATCAATCGATTTGTTAGATCTTCAAAATGAGATTCCAAAAAAAAACATGTGGTTGACGATCAAACTTTCGAGATAAACAAGTTTAAAAATGGCGATTTTAACACGGGCTCTTATAGGACGCGGTCTTTTATTGTTTATAACTAATTTAAAAGATCAACCATCTTAATGAAAAATATATTTTCTGAAAGAGAAAGTTCCAAGCTTTCGATTGGTATGTTGAAAATTACCCCTTAACGAACTAACTAATGAGTAATTAAACAAAATGTGCGTAAAATCATTGATTTCGAATAGTGCGAGCGGTTGTCTGCCTAATGCGAGAAAGGGACAGACAGATGGGAAAATAAATGAACATGTGTTTTCGATCGGAAATTTTTTCAGCTTTCACATGGTCTAGTCGGATTTTCCAATAATTTTCATTTTCATTAGGTAAAAAAGACTTGAAGGTCTACTTTCTACTTTTTCTAATTTCTAATTTGCTCCATTTGAACGTTCTATCGACGAACCGTACCTCGCTTCAGAATAAGTTGTGCAAATTTCTAAGGGCAGCATAAACTATAATTCTACCGTGTTCCCAATTCTGCTTTTCTTCATATGAGTCGTACAGAAAAAATGATTCGCGAAATAAAGTGTTCAGAAATTCGGTTAGAATTTCTTTCAAGTTCTCGAGTCGTACTGCACAGTGTGCTTGAACAGCATATAGGTTTGCCAAAAATACCACCAAATTCTGTAGTAAGTGTTCGAAAGTATGTAAACCACTGAATATGAAACCGTTCGAACGAAAATCTTAGCTGCTACTCTAGTGAAATGTTCCCTTAAACTGCATCAAACCTTTATTGCCATTATTTAATATTGCTGTTTTTTTAGGTTTGATGATTTGAAAAATTTTAAACTCACTTTAATCTATATTCACAGTTGCATAGCTTTAAAGTGCAAAAACCACCTTTAATTTGGTTACATTGAAAACATTTTAAGTTGTATAGAACCGGAGATACAGCTATATGAAGTTTCATGAAAAATCCATGCATTAAATCTAGTTCATTAACGGTTCACAGATTTTAATACTTAAAATCGAAAATAAATAAGCTCTCATTTAAGGGGACACACCTGTGTTTATACCTATAAATGAAAAACATGAAAATTAAGAATTACTATTACAATTTTTTGTTTCTGATATAAAAATATGTTTTTATAGGTCCTTTTACAACAAAAAATATGTCTGTAGTTCCTTTTATTATTGAAAATCATCCATCAAACATGTATATTGACTTGTGATTTCTAAGTCATTGACCGCATGATTTTGAATGCAATTTTTCACCAATCCGGATCCTTGCTGTCTCAAAAGTTTTGTAATAAAATTCTTTTCCACTTAAGAGTAACAGAATTTAAATAAAAGGCTTGGAAAATTTTTTTCATTCTAAAGTACAAAAAAAATGACAAAAATAGCTATTTTAATGACGCTTATTGCTATATTTGGAGATTAGTAGATTAAAAAAATAACTAAATAAAAAATCTGCTACACTCAAGTCAATTTTACACTTAAGTCAATCTTAGAAATACCAAGTCAATATACATGTTTGATGGATGATTTTTAATCATAAGAGAAACTACAGACATATTTTTTGTTGTAAAAGAACATATAAAAACATATTTTTACATCAGAAACGAAAAATTTTAATAGTGTTCCTTTATTTTCATGTTTTTCATTTACAGTCATAAACACAGGTGTGCTCCCTTAATAATATTAAGCACAGCTAACGAGTTCATTCTCTAACTGTGGTGCCCTTAAAATGATCTTAAAAAAAATGTATTCGAACGTGAAATTTTTCGCTTTTTTCAAATTTGAAATAAAAAATGGGGGTCAACGTGTAAAAAATAGATTTTTGTTCGCTGTAGCTTAGAGGTTATGTTCAAGGTCATATTCAAGGTCACCGTTGGATTCCTCGTCAAAAAATGAGTTTATTATGAGAATTTTGATTTTTTTTTAATGCTTACTTCGCGATAATTCGAAGAGTTACCAAATAGTTTTGCAACCCACTTTATAATGTATATTGCCTATATAAAGGCTAAAATATCGAATTTCAGGAGCCTCGTTCTCGGTTATAGAGGCAAGAACCAAGACCCTAACCTACAGAGCCTTAAACTACATATATGTAGTTCTAATAATTTCTCATAAAATGTCGTAAAGATTCATTCTACCAGACTGGAGTGATAGGCTTAATGAAGTCCGACAACTTTTCGAACGGTAGCCCTGAAAGGGCCTGAAACCGAAAAGAGTTTCAGAGTTTACACTCTGCAACTGACAAGACGACTCGTGTAGAACTTCAACGAAAGTCGAACTTCAACGAAGTCGTGGATCGCACTCGCCGAATGACTTAAATCGAGTCACTGAGGCTCGAAGTAGCCGATACGTAAGCCCCGGCGAGGATACGTTGCTTGTGGGTGCCGGGGCTGCGCCACCTAACGGTCGCTGGCAAAGCTTCTCAGCGTAAAGGTGGGTGAGGAGGCTTGAAGAGGAGCGAGAAATAAGAAGGCCGAGTAATTTAGTACAACTCAGGTTTTATTACGTTCCCTAGGCCAAGCTCTTGAGGGCGAGCGAGTTTTGACTCTGGCAAGTCCAGGAGCGGAACTGCGTACCGACTCGAATCGGCACTGCCTTTCATAGCGCTGGCCGGTCGGCGCGCGAGCCGGCGGCGGCTAAGTGGCGGAGTGGGAATACGCACGCACGGGTCTTGTGCCGTGGTGCGGGTAACAGGAGTTACAGCCTATGGAAATCTTGAAAAAATTTATAAAAACGGTATTTATAAACAAAAAGTAATTTGTTCGGGTATCAGAGTGTGTAAGGTTAATAGAAAAAAATCCTTGTCTTGAAGACTGTGCATCGCATAATAGGGCTAATGCTGTTAAAATTAAGATTTTCCACGTCCAAGTGAAAAAAACCACTTTTTTTGATAAATCAGTGGATGACAGCCTGCGCAGTGCGTACTGCGCATTTATAAGCATAGCTCTATACAAGAGCTCGCTGTAAAGAACTTGAATTGGAAGAGCCGCTTTGATGTGGAAAAAACAGATACGTTACATAATTATAAAATTGATATTGTTGTGTTCTTTTTTCATTTTAAATATTAAATAATGACAAAATTACAAAGATTGAAGAGGGGTCACTAAAATCATAGAGCAAGTCACCACCACTAATATAATTTGCAATAAACATGATACCTATAAACTTACCTTTCGTAGCAATTGATGATTTCGTCAGAAACTGGAACATAAAAATGATGTATGTTAATTTAACCTTAACTGCGTGCATTATTGGGCATAATAAATATATTAATTATAACATATCACTTATTATTTTCAGACAAAAAACATCGAGTTATGTCTTTGATGACGATTCATTACTGCATAAAATCTTTAAATAAATTTTATTAGTGTAGCAACCACCCTCTATTTTTTTACATAAAAAATGTCAATCCTTCCATACCCAAGGCTTATTTACGGAGAGAGCACATTCTTAAGGAAATTTGACTATTACGGTGATTCCGAAGCCCCGATTTTTACCGACCGAGGATTAAAAGTGTAAATTTGAATAACTTTTTTACTAGACCGATTTTCGGAAAACGGCTCTGTGGAGCCCTCCTTATTGTTTCTGTGAACAAGTGCACCAAATTTCAGCCAATTTCATCGGGTAGTTTTCCCGGGAAACAAGATCCAAATTTTTTATCTCGCAAACAGTAGTCAAAAATTTCGATCCTATTTTCCGGAAAAACTACCCGATGAAATTGGCTGCAATTTGGTGCAGTTTTTGAGTTAGGTTTTTAGGCTAAAAAATTTCGATTCCGTTTTCCGAAAAAACTTTTGAATGAAATGGGATGAAATTTAGTAAAGTTTTTCACAGCAACAATACGAAGGGCTCCACAGAGCCGTTTTTCGAAAATCAGCCTGTAAAAAAGTTACGAAAATATACATTTTCTGTGCTCGGTCGGTAAAAAATGAGGCTTCGGCATCACCTTAATCTACACTTGAGTTGCAACCTACTTGCACGACGATGCCTAACGCAAGACCTTTTTGTAAGGGGACACACCTGTGTTTATGCCTATAAATGCAAAAACATGAAAATTAAGGATTGATATTAAAATTTTTTGTTTCTGAAGTTAAAATATGTTTTTACAGGTCCTTTTACAACAAAAAATATGCCTGTAGTTCTTTTTATTATTAAAATTCATCCAGGATTCCTTGAACGCGTGATTTTGAATGCAACATTTAATCAATTGTATTCCTTTAGGTCTCAAAAGTTTTGTAATTTCATTCTTTTCCACTCAAGTGTAGCAGAACATCAAGAAGAGGCTTGGAAACTTTTTTTTTATATAAAAGTACAAAAGAATGTACAAAGATGAGTAGATTTAAAAAATTACTAAATAAAAAATCTACTACACTTAAGTGGAAAAGAATTTTATAACTAAACTTTTGAGACAGCAAGGATCCGGATTGGTGAAAAACTGCATTTAAAATCATGCGGTCAATGACTTAGAAATCACAAGTCAATATACATGTTTGATGGATTATTTTCAATAATAAAAGGAACTAAAGACATGTTTTTTGTTGTAAAAAGAAAAGGCGAGCAAAGGAAAATGATCAGAAAGTAAGAGAAAAAGTATACGTAAAAAACATGATCAAACATAACGAGCTTACTAGTGAATTCAATATAGTACCGCATACTATAATCGAAGTAAAAGGAGGACATGTCAGAGTATAAAATGACGAGACAGGATTGCAGCAAAGAAGGAAGTGTAGAAGGAGAATGTACCCTGTGTGAGAAGGAAAGTCAAGAAACCCAAAATTGAAAAACAATCATTGAAAAATTATCAAACCTAAATTGAATAAAAATGTTAACACTGTAATGATCTGTAGATCATTAATTTAATAAATGCCTTGACAAATAACACGCGTCGAATGTAAGTCAATAGTAACGTATAAAATAGTACAGCTCAGATAAGAATAAAGCAGTATGAATGAGCACACGCATAGGCAGTGCGGTGTTGTATGAGTGCCTACACAAACAGGCGAGCACACCACAGTATGAGTGCCACGGAAGCGCGACAAAATCTCCGGCGACACAATCTCCGCGACTAAATCTCCGGGACGAAATTTCCGGGCGACTAAATCTCCGTGACATAATCTCCGGGGACAAAATCTCCGGCGAATTTTATTTTATATTTTTCTACTTATTAGATGTTTATTCCGTTTAGATAAATTCTTGTTAAACGCGATATCTAAATCTACATATCTAAATATTTTTATTACACATAATATCTAACATTATTTGTTTTTCTTCCTTCTACTCGTGCTTTTGGTATGTTTATAAGTGTGTTTGGGATGCGTGATAGTTTGTTGGGATGCGTGATAGTGTGTTGGGATGCGTGATAGTGTGTTTGGGATGCGTGATAGTGTGTTTGGGATGCGTGATAGTGTGTTTGGTACGTGTGTAAGTGTGTTTGGGATGTGCGTGTTTTTTCCCGGGAGATTATATCCCGGAGATTTTGTCTTGCGGAGATTTTGCCGCGGAGAAAAAAAACCCACTCGTGCCGGCATGGTTGACACTCGTGTCTTTTCCGCACACTCGTGCTCAAAACCGCCTTTTGGGTACTTGTTGCATAAATAACTATTATATTGCGATATGCACTTTCCTCTGGTTTTCAGTAAGCAAGGGTGAAAACATGTTGACGAATAAGTATGAAAAATTAAAAGTATATAAAGAAGCTCCTGAGCTAAAGAGGGAATCATAAGACTTACAACTGTTAACATGGGCGAAGCTCTGTCCGATCGAAATTTGTATCTATCATTTAAAAAGTTTACGTGTTCGCAAGTGAGTTGAAGTGTCGTGAAACTAGATCATCAACATATCTGCTAGCTTTGCCAGCTACAGTATCCTTAAAGGTTCTGCCGTTCAGCAGTCCTTGTGTTGTATAAACGTTTTTTCTAAACTTAATAGTTTAAATGATAAAAAGTGAAACGTAAAAGTAACTTTTTTCACCAGAGTAGCAATTTTGTTGGAAAAAAAAAACGTTGACTAGATGAAACAGAGTTTTGTAAAGTGCAGACATTATTTTGAACACTCTCATTGGAAAGAGCACCTTTAAAAACACAAGATTTAGTAGTTTCCATATTTTTTGTCGGTTATATTAAGGCATGGTTAAAACGGAAAGTTGTAAGTCCAAATCGTGTCATCTGAGTATTAATGGGCTAAGTAGTTAGAAAAGTAAATTTATGTTCAAGTTTGAAGAATAGGTGAACTAACTAATGCGCATAACAGAAAAGTTAAATAGTAAAATAAAGTAACATTACCTTTGATTTGGTGTTTGTTGATGGTACTTGACTAGAAGATTGATTCGATGACGGAAGTTGGTTGGAATTAAGTTCCGGGTTGAGGGAAAACAGTGCATCAATTTCAACCTATAATATTATAAAATATCAGTTTTGAAAATTGTGTAGTTTTAATAAGTTTTAAACAAAATTTTTTCTTGAAGGTTTTGTTTTGATGAATGTTGATAAAGTAAATTTAATTTACAATTGGGCTTCTCTCTCTCTCTCTCTCTCTCTCTCTCTCTCTCTATCTCTCTCAAAGTGTAAACACGCGTTTTGATCGTGCTCCGCTGTTGCTGCCGCTAAATACCGATGAATTTGGTCTGAAAATTCAGTTTTTGTTTGTGTGCGTGAAGTGTGCTGTTGGCCGACTGCTACCTCAGTTTCAAGTGCATTCATCATCTCAGAGGCTGCACATAGCGAAAATTCATAAAACACGATAACCTCTCAGATCAACTTAGCTATTATTCCGCCTTCTCTAAGTGTGTGTTTACTTTCACGCACGCTACTGTGTGAATTTTCGCGCTCTTAGTAATATAAATCTATATCAACAAGGTGATAAGCGTGGAGCATTGAATTTAGCAGGATTGTCACTACTGTGACCTCGACATCGCTCACCTACTCAACTTCAACTATAACATCAGTGACAACTACTTTAGCGGCCAATTTTGCAACATCACTAGTTACTACTCAGAATCTTGTCGCTTCCAACACGGTAAACTCAACTCAAACTACTACACCAAGTTATGCGAGTCCATGTACCAGCAACAACGAGATTGGCTTCCTCTACTTAATCTACTCGTCCAAAGACTTGAAAAAAGATTCAACTGGCTTGAGCCATACTTGAGGCATATCGACGACAGGCAGAAAGAAAGAGGCTACAGTGCAAGCCTTGCATGTTGAGCACGAGAGGCCAATTGCTCAGCTATCGTCCCAGATCCGAAGCCTCAGTGAACTCATTACACCAAATAATACTGCGAGTACTGGCCTCTCACACCCGATGATATAGACACACGGATGATATAGACTCTTTTGAGGTGCGATACAGTGGTTTGCCGCTGAGCGCACCAGTCAACCTTGAGACTGTGACTTGCCCACGAGCGTTTTGTTTTTCAAACAATACTTGCATGCACTCCGAGGATATTGTTGCTTTACAGTCTGAACTAACATTGTGTGTGGTTTAAAAGTGAAGCGACTGGATCCACTTGCCACCTTAACCGACGCTTGCGAGGTGCTGATCTCTGGAGTTTCCGCGATTACTAAACTGATGGACGAATAGGTTTCTGACAAGGTTTTCTCGGCTATGGGCCTAGACAATTATATGGGTTTGTGGCACGTACTAGACCGTGTTGCCCGAAAACAGTGAATGCCAACCATTCCAAGGACTAAAGAGCTTTTGTTGTTAAGTTTGTGTCTCCTAGTGACAGAGATGATTGTCTGATGCATGCTGTAAGCTTACTGCTTATAGTAGTCATGCATTTTTTGGCACTGGGGGTGGCAGCCGACTCAAGCTACATGCGTGTTGGCCAAAGCGATTCCATAGTATTCTTAGCAAGGCTTACGCTACATCACTTGAGCTAAACTATGCTACACCCACGGTCCGGGACCTCACAGTTTTGAAGTGAAACTTCTTTAGTCACGATAGGTATGAGGAATAAAACTGTGAAAACCGAGCGTACGTATAGGCGAGCGGTGACGGGCGCGATAATCGTAGGAATGCCAGCTATCGTGCTAGCAACTGCTGGCTATCCTCTTCGGTTGCAGAGTTTTAGGCGCGCATCTACTGCTAGGCACTCGGCGTTTATGTCTACGCAACGTCTACGGAGCGTCGTGTAAGTCTCGAATTAAAAAAAACGATTTAAAAAAAATTCTATTTCATTGTCAGTCTAGTGTACGCAAGATTTTTTAATTTAAAAACAGTGAAAAAAATCGGCAGTCCATTCGCACACGAGTCTATGTGCTGTACTTTACCTGTCTCATATAAAAGCATTGAGAGATGTATTTTAAGTAAAGCTTGGATATGGCATAACAGCAAATTTGATGTTAAAAAGTTCAAACATATTATGTAATATATTAAATAAAAGTAAAATTTGACTTGAGTTCATTGAGAGGAAATTTTCAAGTATTCAAATGTACTATTTGTACGTTACTAACCAGTCGAAACTACAGCCTGTTTATTTTGAGGATGGCCTAAAGAGACTTGGACCGAAATTGGAATAACGCTTGCCTACTTCAACCACTGGAGTAACTCGGCAACTCTTTACTTTCTCCAAAGATTAATCAAGTTTTCTAGTTTTCACAAGCAATAAATTTTCACTACATTTCCTATTTTAAATCACATACACAAGATTAAATTTTTTTTCCTACATTACTCCAATTCAAATTTTATACTTTTCATCACCGCCATGCCTTCATTGTTCATCAGCTAGTTTGCATCCTGTAGAGCGAGAGGTTGTTTTTATTATAGTCAAATTATTAGTTTTGTGATAGAAATATTGTAATTAATGCTCAAAATTGGCATCGTTTACATTGATAAGTATTAATGCGCTATATTTATGAAATTATACTGACATCATTATTGTATCTGTTGTGCCAGATAGGGCCTAAGGCCGAATAAAGTTATTTATCTATCTATCTATCTATCTCTCTAAATGAAGACATGGTTTCGAAAGGATATTTTATCAGCTTCCTTATGGTGCCGCCCGATTTTCCGATAAATTTCATTTTCACAAGGAAAAATCAAAAATAAACCACAAAGTTCACTTTTTCCGTACTGAATTTTTCGAGATATATAGCCCTCAATGTTCAATAGCGATTTTCTTAGTGAAAATTGCATATTTTGGAAAATTTAATAATAACATCAGAAAGCTGAAGAAATTTCTGTTCTCGATTTTTCGTTCTCTAAAACACAAAGTTGACAAAATAATACTTATCATCAAATTTTGTGTTCACATAATTTTTTATCATCCCAAGACCCCTACGAACAATTTGCAGGGATCCAGGCCCTCATGCAAGCAAAAAACAATTTCATCTTTTTTTGTTAACGAAACAGCATTTTATTTTTAGAAGCCGTGTTTTCAAAACTGCAAACATTGTCAAAGAAGAAATAATCATTAGTATGAGTACCACAAGAAAATGCTGACACCTTTAGAAAGAATTTTTGGTCATTAATTGAACTATTAAATAAAATAAGAAAGATAAAGTCAAAAATATTTATAATTGTTGTTTATTTTTCTTATTATATATCTAGTTCGTTTTCCCAATTGTCGTATTTCCCGAATCTCGCGGCGATTATATTTTATAATATAGATAGATAGAAAGTCTCGTACGAACCTTCAAAGAGGAAAGACATGTGTTTAGATCACTCTAGCAAAACAAAAACAAAAAAGATATAGCACTCGTTTCCACAAGCCTACGAATCGAAATTCTCAAGCCTCACAACTGAACTCTAGACTTTATCTTACGCAAAACCACATCAACGGACGAACTAAAAAGCCCAATTCTGAGTCTGGATAAGAACTTGGGCGACAAGATCGAGGCCTTGTCCAGCGACGTAAAGTCCTTCAAAGGCGAATTTCAATCGCTGAAAAGGGAGACACGGGAACTACGCGAACCGAACAATGCGCTTCAAGAAGAAGTGGACACTCTTAAAAAAGAATTGAATAACATCCAAGCAAAAGAGAAAAGGAACAATATAATCATATTTAACGCAGAAGACACGAAGCAATTTAACAACCAAATCAAGGAAAATTGAATTTCTCACAATTAGCGAGATAAACATTAAAGACAGTGATATTGTCAGCATTTCGATCAAAATTAACGATCACTGCGCATAGAGCTATTGGAAAATAACCTCAAGAAGGAACTCTTCGCTAAGCCTAACAATCTCAAAAAGCGTGGCATATACCTGTCGAATGTTTTGACCGTGGTGCAACAAAAAGTACAGAAGGAAACTTGTTGAAGCACAAATAGAGCTCCAACCTTACAATGTTACGACAAAATTAAGAAACGAGCACTTGATAGTGAATGAAAAAAAGTACCGTCTCACGCAGTCTCTGAACTTAATTGCCAGCCTAAAAAACGAAGTAAACTTGAACGATCTATAAAGGAATAACCTCGAAAGTAACTCCCATACGTTCCTACCTCCAGGCCAGCAAGGTTAACAAGAGTGCGCCTGCACAAAAAGCCTCCAAAGCTTAATAACAACTAAATAAAAATACGCACAAATCTGCGCGTGTTCTGTTCTGGAATGCAGCAGGCCTTAAAAATATACAAGACCTGCAGTCAGATGTGCAACAATATGATATAGTATACATGAGCGAGTCCTGGTAAAAAAACGCACCTACGCTGCCAAACAATTTCAACAATCTAAGCTTCCAATGCATATCCTCGCCAGCTGTTAGAACGAATTCAAGAGGACAATGGATGGACTTGCATGCTTCTATAACAGGGACCAATACAAGATGGTAAAGTTATATTCAACCAACGAACACATAGTATTTAGAGTGCAAAACCTCAACGCCACAATAGCATCAATATATGTCGACATAAAACTCTTTGATGAACTCCTGGAGGGCCTTCTTGTACACATTGGCCTAGTTGAGGCGAGATATCCGTCCGATCGATTGATCATCGGAGGGGATTTCAACTCCAGAGTGGCACTAGGAAACAACGGATTGGACCCATGCATATTCGAAGACTCGCTTATTAATGAAAAAAGAATGAGTTGCGACAAAAAAATGGACACAAGAGGTAGAAGGCTTTTCAAAATTATGGAAGAGCTGGGCTTCCTGCTGATCAAAGGCCAAACGAACAATGACAGAACGGGAAAGTTCACGCATATATCAACCCTTGGAAACTCAGTAATCGACCTAGTATGGTTCTGCTCTGGCTCCATCAATCTCATTAGCGACCTTGAAGTACTCCTGACCCACACGATGTTCGACCACTTGCCCTGCGCCCTTACTCTCTCACACTCTACAGAAATAATCAGTGCTCCGACGCACGTAAGCACGCACAGATTCAAATGGATGCGTGACAACTGGGACACATATTTTAACAACTTAAAATATTCCTCAAGCGTTTGCAAC